CGCGAGCTGGTACCTCAGGCGGCAGCGACCACGAGTACTTCAGGCTTTGCTCATAGTGCCCCGGATATACGCTACTTAACGGTCCCTTACTCGTCCCGCCGGGCTATCGGCATGGGTCGTCAGGTAGATTATCCCCACTCCAGCTCATTGCCAGCGTCAAATGCGTTGCTGTAGCACCGAGCGCATGCGCTGCGAATGCTTGTTTTCCAGCAAATAGTGATTAATGTCGAATAGTGTTTCATCGCCCCCCATTGCTCCTGAATAGTGTACCCCAACGGTCTAAAAACGCTGCGGTTTTTTATGTATTTTCCGTAAAAGTCCTCGATGCCATCGACCTTTTACATTAAAATTATTACGATACATACCGTATATTCCGACCACCCCTGCTTGTCCATCGTAGTACTTGCATTGTCGAGCAGAGCGTGTGGCGCGAATACACTGTTTATTGCCCTAAGATCCAGCGGCTGCTGGCTCGGTCCACGTTGAAAACACTGGATGCGGCGTGTCGCAGCGTCGCGACTGCCGGTACCCACCACGTGGTGCACTCGACAACTCGCAGCACGGAGCATGGCCCCGCAAATACGGACGGCCGGCGCCGTCTATGGCCTCCTCTGCGTCATCAGCCTGCTCAACTACGTTGACCGAGGCATAATTCCCGGCGCGCCGATCGAGTTCCAGGCGTTCGTCCAGCAGACGCACGGCGTCGCGCCGGAGCACGTCAGCGTCTACATCGGGCTCCTCGTCTCGGCCTTCATCGCGTCCTACTCGATCTCAATTTGCATCTTTGGCTACCTCTCCATGCGCCACCGGCCGTTCCAGCTCGCTGCCATCGGTCTCGGTCTCTGGGTCCTTGCGCTCGTCTTGTGCGGCCTTGCTAAGACCGCCGGCAGTTTCTACCTCCTCCTCCTCGGGCGACTCCTCAGCGGCGTCGGCGAGTCGTCGTTCCATGCGACGACGCCGGCCTTCGTAGACGAGTTTGCGCCACCGGGCAAGCGGACGCTGTGGCTGGGATTCTTTTACTCGGGCATGTCGGCGGGCACCGCGCTCGGCTACTCGTACGGCTCGCTGCTCGCGCGCACGCTTGGATGGGACGTCGCCTTCTACCTCCTTGCGCTCCTCATGCTGCCGCTCGTCTACGCCTGCTACGCCATGATCCCGCCATCGTTCAACGAGCCGTTCCACAATGCGCATGCTCGTCTGAATGACGTCGACAGTCGGACGCTCTCGTTCTCAACGCCCCTCGACCGCCCCTCGGTCGTGCTGCTGGACACGCCGACCGTCACGGCGACGACCGAAGCGCGGGCGATCGTGTCCGACTTGGTTTTTTTTACCGCGAGCTTGGGCCTCGCCGCGTACGCCTTCACGGTCGCGGGCCTCGGCGCCTTCGCGCCTTCGATCCTGATTGGATATGGCCTCCTCCCCGAGGCCATCGCGTCGACTGTCTTTGGGCTCATCGCGATCCTCGGGGGGCTCATCGGGTCGCCGCTCGGCGGCCTCCTCCTCGACCGGTCGTGCGCTGGCCACGACGACGACGACGCTTTCCGCGTGCACGCGGCCGCCAAGCAAATGGCCGGCATGATGGCGCTCGGCGTCGGAAGCCTCTTCGCGTCGCTCGCGACCATCCACATGACGGGCGTCTTCTTCGTCTGCCTCGCCTTCGGGCTCCTCTGCCTCTTCTCGACGACGGCCGCGACGACCGTCGTCATCCTGCTCAACGTCCCCAAGGCCCGGCGCGGGTTCGCCATGGGCCTCAGTACGCTCGTGCTGCACCTCTTTGGCGACGTGCCGTCGCCGATTGTGCTCGGTGCGCTCAAGGACGCGTGGGCGCCGCACTGCGGCAGCGTCGTCGCCAACGACGGCAGCCTCACGCTGGACCCGCTCTGCTCGACGGACCGCGATGGCTTGACCAAGACGCTCACGTTTGCGTACGCGTGGCTGCTCTTCGCCGTCGGTCTCTGGAGCGCGACAGTCCTGCTCGCCAAGCGACGCGTGCGGGCCAAGACCGCCGACGCGCTGGAAGCGACGCCGCTAGTGTAGTTAGGAACAGAGCTTGGCACCACTAAGATTGTATGCGGGGTGTTTTCTGTAGGCCCAACTGATGGAATAAGACGCGGATCGACCAAGGTGTAGAAGAAAAGGGTCTTAATCCATGGAGTAGGAGTTAACGACGGCCTCTTCACCTCTTTCTGCAGCCGCAGTTGAACGCACGATCGCAAATTTAATCGACGTTGGCCATGGCGACATCGGCCTCCGTGAACTTGCCCTTGTTCTTGTCACCGACGGCGCGGTTCTTGCGCTCGAGGATCTTCTTGCGGTCCTTGTCGAGCTTGAGCTTGGTGATGACGACCTTGGAGGGGTGGATGCCGACCGGGACGGCGGCGCCGTTGACCTTCTCCTTGACGACACGCTCGACGTGGATGACGAACTTCTTGCGGTAGCACTGCGTGACGCGGCCCTCACGGTTCTTGAACGAGCCACGGACGATCGTGACCTCGTCGTCCTTGCGGATGGGCATCGAGCGGACCTACACTGGCATGAGCTCCTGGTCGCGGCGCATCTTCGGGCGGCGGCGCAGCTTACACGAGTCCTCAAAGCTGCCATGAAGTGCCAGGAGGAGGACTCCCGACATGGGCTTACGCTGGGAACGGAAAGGTACCGCTCCATCTCACGATGAGCTACTTACGTTGTACTTGGACTGGAGGTCCTTCGACAGGTTGGCGCTCATGAGCACGCGGCGCTGGGTCGAGTGGGCACCGAAGTGGGCCTTGCGGCACTTGCGGCGCGACGAGGTGACGGTCGAGTTGAACTTCACTACACGTTAAAGCCCGCGTTAGCTTCGGCGTCTACCGCTGCATGAGGCACGTACTTTTGCTGAGGCTTGTGAAAGAGTAAAGCTGCGCGACCGGTTGCCTCGAAAGCACAACCCGCGCCCCCACCAGTAATTTCGCGCGATGCCATTCGACAATATTTTAGGGATTTTAGCCAATAAAACGACGTCCGTCGCGACCGAACGATTGGCCAAAATGAGAACGGCTGTTGATTGGCGGATGCCTTGACACGCCAAAGCGCGCCAAGGCTCAAGTCGAGCGGAACTCGAGTGGACTTTAGACGACAGGACGTGTGGATTGGTTTTGTTTGGGGACGTGGGAAGGCGTTCTCTTAGTGTGCTGCTCGCTCTACGAAGCAGCGTCAATTGGGAATATCATGTAGAGATCTGTGGGCAATTCAACGCCGACATTTTGGCTCTTGCCAAGGTGCATGATGCGTCGTCCGTATAGAAGACTCAGTCTCGTCTGGTCAATCGTCCTGTCCTGGACTGTGTCGCACGGTGAAGAAGGTTCCTGCTTGGTCGCTCGAGTACGTAGCTCCACTGCATAGTACGCTCGAGTTAGTATTTGATAACTAATCCCTGACCCAAAGAATCCATCGTTCAAACGGCAGGAGTGTCCGTTCACAAAACGAGCCAAGCTGCTGAAAATACCAGATTCCGTGACTGCGCTCGGACGCCCACGACAGAGATGGAGCCCTTAAACTTGGGCCTGTAGAGTTACCTTAGCTCGTTGCCTTGACTTGGATCCGCCTTGGCGAGCGTTGATTGGTCGATGCGAAATCACGGGCGCTGTGATTGGCTACGCGTTTGATTGGTGGTCTCTATGCAATTTGATGGGCGAGTGCCATTCGACGAACGAACCCTTTTCGAAGACATGGCTGACCACGACCACTCGCACGACCACGACCACGAGCATGACCACGACCATGACCACCACGAGGACGACTCGATCACGAACAAGGCCGAGAAGAAGTCGCGCAAGGCCATGCAGAAGCTCGGCATGAAGCAGGTCCCGGGCATCATCCGCGCCACGATCAAGAAGTCCAAGTCGACGCTCTTCGTCATCTCCAAGCCGGATGTGTTCAAGAGCTCGGCCTCGGAGACGTACGTCATCTTTGGCGAAGCCAAGATCGAGGACCTCAACGCCCAGGCCCAGCAGTTTGCCCAGCAGCAGCAGGCCGCCCCCATCGCCGAGGCCAAGGTCGAGGCCGAGGCCGCCGTCGAGGAGGACGACGCCGAAGTCGATGAGACCGGCGTCGACGCCAAGGACATCCAGCTCGTCATGTCGCAGTCGGGTGTCTCGCGCGCCAAGGCCGTCGCCGCCCTCAAGTCGAACGACAACGACATTGTCAACGCCATCATGGAGCTCACCATGTAAATACGACGACGTTATAACTTAAAAGGAGTGCACTTCGTTCGCGTCTCAGTATCACACCGACTCGGCCGTCGTCTTGAGGTACGACTGGTACGTCCACGTGAGCTGGAAGAGCTTGACGAACTCGAGGTTCTCGAGCCGGAACCACTGCTTGAACGAGTGGGTCTTTTGGCAGCTGCGCAACACAATGTCATAGACGCGGTCGATGGCGGCCATGACTTGCGACGGCGTCGCGTGCTCGGTCGACGCCGCTTCGACCACGAGCTTGCGCAGCTTGGACGGCAGATGCACGGCGAACGCAGGGTTGGACGCCTTCTGGAAGACACTCGGGGTATCCTTCTCGACGTGGAGGACACTGATGCAGCCGCCACAGGCCTTGGCGAGCGGCCAGCGCGAGAGCTGGTAGGCGCACTCGCGCCACGTGTCGAGTGCGACGCCGACAATGAACGGCGGCTCGGACGTCGTCGACGTCTTGTGCTGCGTGTACAGTCGAAGCAGATCGAGGAGCGACGTGAGCGAGGCGAGCGAAAGGTACGGCGCGACGAGGTAGTGCCACTGGAATGGCTTGAGGAGAAAGAGGATCGCGTAGATAACTTCGTGCACCAGCGTCACGGACGACGACACGACGATGAGGGGTGTCTCGAGCAAGATCGACGAGAGCACCTTGATCAAGACCTAGGAAGCATGAGCGATCACAGGCACGGATCAACATGCAAACCTTGGGCCCGAGGAGGCGCAGGACGCGGCTTATGTCGAGCGATTGCAATGTCGGGTTGAGCGAGAGCTTGGTCACGTGCGCGCGCCAGTCGGCAACGTGTGCGCTGCGAAAGCGCGTTACTTGCAATGGCTCGTCCTGCGGCTGCACGAGGGCCACCGTCGTCTGCGTCGCTGTCTACTCGACTGGTTAGACGACATCGCATCCCGTGGTGGTCATCATACCGGAAGCAAAATACTCCAGGGCCACGGATGCTGCGGCGGCCACGACGACGACGATGACGCTGCAAGTGTCTGTCGGCTATTGAGGTCGTAAATGAGGCGCAGGTTGGCGAGCCGGTAGGCCGCGGGCGTGAGACGGCCGCTCATATACTTGGTATTGGCGGTCGCCGCCGCGTGCCAGTCGCCCCACGCGCCGTCGAGCGCTTCGTAGGATGCGGCGAGCGCCATTGTGTGCTTGCGGTGCTCCTGCGAGCACGCGTGCCAAAAGTCGGCGCCGTCGACTTCGAGCTCGAGGTCCGTGTCGTCCCAGTCGGCGTTGGAGCTCGCCGAGCCCTCGTGGCCGACGGGCGCCGAGTACGACCGGACGCGGGAGACGTCGGGCAGCGGCATGTGCAGCGCGCCGTGGCCGTGCAACGGGCCCACGTACGCAAACGGCGGGTCGGGCACCGCTGCGACCACCAGGAACGGGTCGTTGGGTCGTCGAAAGACGGCCGCCATCATGTCGGAGAGCGACGAGAGCGAGAGCTGCTTCTGGTGCGAGTACACGCTGCGAGGCAAGCGAGTCCCGGACGCCGTGCGCGGTACACCACCACCCATGTCTGGCAGTGCTGTCGGCGCAGCGGCGTCTCGGCTCGTGCTCGTCGTCCAGTACGTCGTCGCGTTTAAGCTCCAGTAGAGGCGCTGGAGATCAGTCAAGCTCAGGAGGTCCGAGGGCGAGGACCACTCGAGACGCGTCAAGTGCGCGCCAATCAGTAGCAGCGACGCGACCACGCGCTCGAGCTGCGCCAAGACGCTCGGTGCAAAGGGCAGCAGCGGTTGCCACGGCGTCTCGACCGACTCGGTTCTGCGCAAGAAGACAGCTTGGAGCAGGAGCAGCGCCTGCTCGTAGAGCTGGACGACGTCGACGGTAGGTGTTTGCAGGTGCCAGCAGCGGACGGTGGCGCACGCGACGAGGGCACGCACCATGTGCATCGGGCGCGCAGTCTCGCCGGCCAAGACGAGCGCTTGCTTGATGGACGACTCCAACGACGAGGACGCCACGTCATTCGCCGCATCCATCGACGCGTCAATAAGAACGAGGAGCGCCTTGAGCTGCCGCGCGCTGTCGTTGAGCGTGCGGAAGAGATCGAGCGCACTCCATGTGCGGCGGATCGCCTCGTCGGCGTACGACCCTGCGAGCGTCCAGTGGTTCTCCATGTACGCTTGAAAGACGCGCTGCTCGTGCGACGTCAGAAGTCGCAGCATGGGACCGTCGGCCGGCGTGTTCCAGCGCGAACTCGTGGCCCGCAAAAGACCCGCCGACTCGTGGAGCGACCGCGCGTGCAACGCAAAGAGGCACCGCGCACCGTAGAGCGCAACGTCGGCCTGTTCGCGCACCGTGCTCGCCTTGGCGGCCGCGAGCCCGAGCCAAAAGCTCGCGCGGTGAAACTGCGCCTTGAACAAGTAGCACCGGAAGCGACACCGAATGTAGCGGAACGAGCCCATCGTCTCGAGCGCGTGCCGGTGGTCCTTGGCGTCCTAGACACAGCCACCGTGGTGAAGGGTACAGCCGGCGGTGGCACGTACGTTAGCCTCGGCCTCGATCGTGCGCAGCATCGAGAGACAGAGCTCGAGCTGGCGCATCTTGAGCGCGTCCTCGGCGACGAGGAGGGTTAATGCTACGCGCTTCCCGCGTGGCAGCTTGAGGCGGTAGTTGGCCTCGTACGCCAAGAGGTGCTGGAGCACGGCGAGGGCATCTTGCCAGCGGCCCGTCGCGCGGTAGACGTCGCGGAGACACAAGTGCAGCGAGATCATGTGCTGCAGCCAGCCGTCGAGATCGTGCTGCAGCTTGAAGTGGAACGAGCGCGGCGGCAGCTGCGCGAGGCACGGCGGCGGCAAATTCGGCACAGACGGGTCCTGGAGCGCAACAAATGCCGAGGCGAGGCGCTGCTCGGCGACTTGAAAGTGGCACTGCTGGAGCAAGATGCCGTTGATCTACGCACGATACATTCACCATGGACCCATGGCAAGAAAGGGTTACCATTTGCACAATGAAGACGAATTCGTGGCAGTTCTCGAGCTCCTTGGTCCACTGGAGAACGCGGTCGTGGTAGAGGAGCGCGCGGTCGAGGTCGCCTTCGTGCAAGCACACGCTCGAGCAGAGCCGGTCGAGCTTCTCGTACCCGCGTCGGTTGATAAACTCAAAGCAGTAGACGCGCGCCGCACTCTCGTACGCAGCGATCGCGAACGGGTACTTCTTGTTGTGCTGCAAGGCCGCGCCCTACTCGGAGAAAGGATCGTTTGAAGGCAGACAATGTCGGTGCAACGTACGAGGAGCTCGAGCGTGTCGCGGCCAGACGGACCGAGGACGCCCTGCCGCTGGGACGGCCCTGGAAGGAAGGCGAGGCCATACCCGACGTCGAGGAGCCGGAGACCTTCCATCGCGAGCGCCTCGCAGAGCGACGTCGTCGAGTGCAGCATGGACCGCCCGAGCACGTACGCACATTTCGCTTTGAGCAACGTGTCGTGGGGCATCTCGAGCCGCGCGTAGAGACTCTCGAGCCACTCGAGTCGGTGGACGCCGTCGGGCTCGAGCAATTGCAGCGATGACGAAGGCGCGGCATGCGCGAGGACCGCGGGCGGGTCGTCGTGAAAGATGCTCGGAATCGGAACGTCGTGGAGTGGACTGCGGCGGTCGGCCATGGCTTGGATGTCGCAGAGGACGGCGGCGTGGATCGCGATGGCGCTCGTGCCGAGACTGAGCAGCCCCATGTCCAGCGCCACCGTGATCGGACAGGACGACGTCGGATCGTCCGCCGTCGACAAGAGCGACAGGTACCGCAGGGCGACGGTCTGCCCGAGGCCAGGCTCGATATGCAGCGACGCGCCTGTGTCGAGGACAAGGTCCATCTGCCACGAGTAGTTCTTGCCGCTCTCGTAGTGCGACCAGTGGTGCAGCACGTACCGGCATTCGAGGAGCGCCCACACAGCGTGCCACGCGGGGTAGAGCCTACCGCAGAGCGCCACGTAGTCGGCGAAGAGCACGTCGTGCTCGGTCGGCTGCAGCGCCTCGATCGCGAGCTGCAGGATTTCCATGCTCCAGCCACCAAGGATATACGCATCGGCATCGCACCCGACGAGGAGAGACGACTCGAGCTCGAGGTCGCGAAAGTACGCTTCCAAGAGCTTTCTCGCGTCGACGAGACGCCGCCGCCGGATGCAGTGGGAGAGGCGCGCGCCGAAGGAGGCGAGCGAGAGGCGCATGGCCGCGATGCCGCCCTTGGCGTGCAGGAAGATATCGCTGTCGCATGGCGTCAACCACGAGGCTTCCTCGGCCAGCGCTGCTTCGTCTTTGGTTTGGACGACGTTCTTGAGCCAGTCGTGGAGCTGGACTTCGTTGAACGCGGGAAAGCCGTCGGCCTCGAGCGTCAAGAGCGGCGTCGCGCGCACCGAGGCCAGCGGCGGCGGTCCGCTTGGCGCGTTGCGGAAACACGCGTGCGCATTCTCGAGGAGCTTCTGAGAGTCGGGCAAGCCCGCAACGGTCAGCGTTGCGCGCTTGGCGTCGGGCGAGCTTGGCGCAAGGCGGTCGTCGAGCGGCGATGGCGGCGCGCCGAGGAGGTCGACGTTGGGCAGCAGCGACCGGAAGAACGAGTTGTTCTCTTCGCGCTGGGAGGCATACCCATCGTAGTCGAGCGTCGTGCATGTAAGCTCCTTGTCCCAGTCCTCCATGTCATCGTCCTCGTCGTCTTCCTCGTCGTCGTCGTTGCTCGTCGTCTTGGTCGGCGCGATGGTCGGCTGTGGGTCCATCGAGAGCGCGAAGTCGCCGGACCAGTCTTCCATCTCTTCCGCGAAGCGGCCATGGAGCAGTCGGTCCATCCCGCGCCCGCCGGCGTCGAAATAGAACTCTGCGGAAACCTTCGGCGCTGTTAAAATCCAAATTTTCGGCGCTCGAGCGTTTTGACGCGCGTTTTCCACGCGTTTCCCACATGTGTTCACCTCCCGAAGTGGAAAAAGTGTATGCAATAGCGTGTGAAAATATGTGTAAAACGGTGAGAAACGTGGCGGATATGGCGGTTACGTGCCACGTCATGAGCACGGGCAACAGGTCGACTAACTAAAGTGCACCATGAGCAACCCATAAGGTAATTGAACGACTAACTAAACAAACGCGTCTTCGACTATCCGCTAAAGGCAGGATAAGGACTGTCAGAAGCATAGTAAGAAGCAGGTAATGACACAACAACCATGCGTGTTGATCCAGGAGGAATTAACGGCGCGTGGTGGCTGCGGAAGCTGCTGACTTCCTGTTGAGGTCTCGAGAAACAACTTAGTCCGAGGCGTTCTTGGCGAAGAGAGCCTTCGACTGGGCCTTGCGCTTGGGGTCGTTCTTGGTCGTCTTGATGTTGCGCTTGGCGGCGACGATGGCACCCTTCTTCTCCTTGCGGAGAGCTTCGGCGCGGAGCTCGGCACGGCGGGCGACAAGCGTGTACGGGTTGAGCTTGACCATGGCGCCGAGGTTCTTGAGCGGGTTCTTCTTGTGAGCACGGCGCGTGTTCTTGTAGATACCGGCGCGGATGACCGACTGGATTTCATCCGAGTTAATCAGACGGCCCAAGTTGGCGTTCGTCATGACGTGGCGCGGGAGCGTGTAGTCCGACTTGACGGCCGACTTCTTGGTGTACGTGCCGTAGATCGAGTCGAGCTGCTCAAAGGCGGACTTGGTCCAGACGATGAAGCGGCCGACGTGACCACCGGGGGCGAGGCTCAAGAGGTTGAGGCGCTCGACCGGGACGAGCTCAATGCCCGGGATGTTGCGGAAGGCCTTCTCGATGCCGTTGGCGTGGGCGTAGACGAAGAGGGGACCCTTCTTCATCGAGTAGCGGCGGTTGCGGCTCTTGCCACGGCCCGTGCGGATCTTCTTCGAGTCCTTGACCTTCTCGACATCGGCGTGGGCACCGATCTTGGCGAGGATCTTGACGGCGGCCGACGTCTTCTGCGTCGACTCGACCGAGTCATCGAGGACGAGCGGGATCTCCGAGACCTGCTCGATGCGGTGACCGCGGGCGAGGACGAGCGAGGGCACGGCCGAGGCAGCGAGAGCCGACGCCACGGCGAAGCGGCGCTGGTTCACGTTGATCTTGCGGTGCCACTTGCGCCAGATGCGCGTGGGCGCGAACATGCGGCCCGAACGACACATGTTACCGAACGCACCCTGGCCGGCACGCTGGGTACCGCCGCCCGAGATACGGGGGATACGCGCGACAGCGCGGCCCGTGCCCCACGACTCGGCCGAGTGCTGGTGGCCGGCCTTGCGCGAGACAGCGTACGCCTGGCGGTTGTTCTTGTTCATGTTCGTGTGCACGAAGGTGACCACGTCCGGGCGGATGGGCGCCGTGAAGACCGCGGGGAGCGCGATCTGCGAGAGGACCTTGACGGCCTCGTCGGCGACGGAGAGCACGGAGACAACGGGGCGGGCAGCAGCCATGTTGAGGAAAAGTCGCTGGTGCTAAGACGGACGAATTTTCGAATGACCGACGAAGTTGCTCCTGTAAACGATTGGTCCGCGGCCACGGAGCGTCTCATTGGCGGAAAAGCACCGGTATTTTGGAGAATACGGATACGACGCCGTTTATTATCCGGATAAAACACATGCTCCGGGCAGTTTGGCGAGAAGCGACGCGAGACGCGACGCGGACGGGACCAGCTCCATGTCGTAGCAGTCTTTGGCCATGGCGCTGAACGTGGCATGCTGCTCGAGCACGACCGTCTACATGCATGCACGCGTAGGTAGAGCCAACCGTGGCCATCATGTACCTGCAGCGACTGGCTCACGACGGGCACCATGCTTGGCGTGTGGCTCAGATGCTTCTTGAGCCGATCGCCAATGTGCTTGATGGCCTTCTCGAGCTATAGGGCATGGTGGCGTGTCAGCGTATCGTGCACACATGCAGAATTCGGACGGTCTGGTTGGTGGCCTCGAGCGTCTTGCGCACGTCGTGCTTGGAGACGTGGAACTGGACTTCGCCGACGGGCACGCTCGTGAGCAGGCGCGCAATCGATTCAAAGATGGCCTACGCGAGCAAGCTCTCGGGATCCGCGTGTAAAGGCCGAGAGGAGTCTACGATGTAGCTGTCGCACTCGCAGCGCCAGAGCCACGCTGCGTAGGCCGCCAAGTTCTTGTTGTACGCGTCGTACACGAGCTGCGTGTACTTGAGGACGACGGCCGAGTGGCCGCCGTGGAGGCTCAGCGCCGTCAACTTGTCGTGCATGTAGTGGAGTTTTCTAGCGCACGTCAGGAATCGAGGACGGCGTCATGATCGTCGCTACCAAGGCGCACGAGGTGGCTGTACTTGGGCTTGGTCGTCGCCGCTCTCTCGAGCCACGCAAAGAGTCCGGTGACGAGGCGGTCGTAGATCGGCGCCAAGATGGCCTCGTCGTGCGCGCCGTCGCCAGCACCTTCGAGGCGCCCGATGAGCGTCTAGAAGCAGCGTACATCAAGACACGGGTAGAGAGCACTGGTCGTCATCATACCATCATCTTTTGCACGGGGCCCAGAACGCCGACGAGGCGGGTGTCAGGGTGTATGCTTTCGAGCCATGCTTCCTAGCCAACCGAGCTCAGCGAGACAGACATTCCTACGACACCCACCTGCTCCTCGATGTACTTGGAGAAGACGCGCTTGAGGTGGAGCTGGAAGTGGAGTAGCGTGTTGGTCACAAAGTCGCTCTTAACGTCGCTGGCCGCGCCTTGCGCCGTCACGATCATCGAGAGCGCTTCCATCATGTTGCTGTGCACACCGGCCTCGGCAAAGTCCACGAGCCGCTTGAGCAGTCTATCTCAACGATGAGAAATGGTTTCGTACGTCGAGCAACTTTTCAAAGACGGCCTCCATCATGCTCGTGAGCTCTGGCGGCTCGGACTTGGCCTTGCGCTGTCCCACGGCCCCTGGCCCTTCCGTATGGAAGAACATGCTTCGCACAAACGCTTGCTCGGCCGTGCACAGCGGTAAAACCTACGTCGCCTTACAGAGAGGCCAGAGACGAGTTGACGCGATCGTACGTGCTCCAGGCCTTGCTTGAGCAGCTGCGACGCTGTTATTGTTGCAGCCGCTTCGGGGGCGTGCGAGAAGGACATCGTGAGGCTCCACGACGACGATTTGCCCGGAAGACTTGTTGCCGCCTTGGCCTTGGGCAGCTACGCAGGGGCTGGACACGTCCTCGAATATAAATAAAAATGGACTACCTTCTCCTTGAGCGCGCGGAAGACCGACTGGACATGCGGCCCGTAGATTTGCGCGACGTGCTTGGCGTAGATGTCACGAAGGTGCGTCGTGGAGCGTCCGCTGAGCACGCTCACGCTGGAGCAGAGCTCCTAGATCCGATATGGTCTTTGCCTCAACTCTGGTGGTTTTGGAAGCGGGTACCTTGTACTTGCTGAGCTCGCGGTGGAGCGTGTCGTTGCAAAAGTGCCAGTCGGCGTCGTCGGCGCTGGCCGTACTCGGGCTGCGCACGCTACAAATCTTAGCTGCCTCCTTGTCTCGAAGAAACCGAACCGATTGCTTTTGGCGGCAGCGTCGAGGCCTCGCGGTCACGGCCAAAGACGTGGAGGCTCTTGCGCGGCATGTCGCTGGTCGAGCTCACGGACCGCCGTCGGTTCTGCGCCTTTTCTACGCGCCATTTTCGTGCGTAAAATCATATCATTCCATCCGACCTTGGAGACACGCCTTCACGCGCTGCTGAAGAAAGAGATCGAGGCCGCCCGCGAGCTTTTCACTAAAGTTGCTTCCGATCGACACGAACTCGTCCCGCCGAGCTTGGAACGCGGCCATCTATGCCCATCGTCACAGGATGATTCGAGAATCAGCGAACGCACGTGCTTGGCCGGGAACGCGTCGACAGACTTGATGGCGGCGTCCAAGCGCTGCACCGCGGCGACGATTGTCGCAAGGACACTCACGTCGGCTTCGGGGCTGTTCTGGGTCGGAAAGATGCCGACGGGCTTGAGCAGCGGCCCAAGGAGCTCCCGCGGAACGTCCACGGCCTGAGTCAATTCGGTAGGTTGCTACTCGGCACATGGATCCGATACCTCGATGAGGGTCCGGAGGGCGCCTTCGAGCGCGACGCTGTTCTTAAAGTGAACCTCCATTTGGCTGTTGAGCGACTCGAACTGCGCCATGTTGGCCGACGTGTTGCCGAGCGTCGTGTCGGCGTCTTCGGTCCACTTTTCCGCCATCTTGACCTCGCGCAATACGCCGTCAATGGCTGCGAGGAGCGGGTCCATCGCCTTCCTCTCGTCGCTACTCGACGTGCCCTGGAACGTCAGGAGAAACTCCATGTTGGCGTCGCCCAGCAGCCGCAAGCGGTCGTGCCACGCGGCTTCGACCGACTCGACCGACGCATTGTGCCAGTCAATCGTCGTAAGGAGCGCGATGGCATCGGCCAACTCGACCGATTTCTACGCTCTGTTTCAAACCACGGAGAAGCACGTCGATAATGATGTCGGTACGGTCACAGCGGCGACTTTGGCCGGCGATGCCGGGGCCTCGAGGACATCCCAGCTGCGACGTCGCTCCGTGTGCTGGGGGGTTTGCTACAATGCGTGTGTGCAGCAAAGCAAAAGGAGCGTGTGAGCAAGAGGCGAACGCGCACCTGAAAGGCTAGCAAGTTCACGTCAAGCCCGTATTTACTGGCAAGGTCGTTGGCCGTCGCGAGCTCGGCCAGCTCTTGCAGCGAGAACGTCGACTCGGGCAAGACGAGCTACTTGTCCAGTAGGAACGATGAGGCAGACGACGACGCACCTGCGTGTCGACGTACAACGCAGAGAGCGCCCACACAAACTCCTTCATGGCCGTCGGTGACTCCTACGACGAGCAAGGAGGATGGATTCGTGCAGATGAAATACACTGTACGCTGGCGTGCGCAATCCAGTGGAACGGCTCGTTAACGTCCTTGGCGTCACGGAACTTGAGGCGAAAGCTGCCACGTGGATAGCTCCCAGTGTCCTCGGAGCAGTCCTCGAGCGACTCGAGGTCGTCGAGCGCCCACGTCTTGCGGCAGTCGATCGTGTAGTTGGCCTGGAAGTTGACGTAGTGGAGCTGGCCCATAACCTTGGTCGCGCCGTTCTCAACCACATCGTGCGTCTACCTGCCATGTCCATATGCATGTACCGGTCATGGCGTACCGTCATGCAGAGCAGCTTGCAGGTCGAGTTGCCAAAGGAGCCAAACATGCGCTTCGCCGACGTCGTCTGGAGCTTCTTGACGTGGAGGAAGGCAAGGACGTGCTTGCGCACATGCTTCTCCTTGGTCTTCTCATCTCGAAGCGCTTTCGTCGCCTGGAAATGGGCCTGCAGCGTGTGCTGGATGTCCTCCACGGACACGTGGTGCTTCTTGGGCTCCATCGCGATCTTTGCACTAACACTATTTCCGTGCGATCTTTCGAAAATAATGTGACTTTGCAGTTACCGCGTTCGTTACACGCGGCGGCGGTCGGCCCTTTACCCTGCCTGTCCCGCCTCGCAGCTGGGCATTGAATGCTGGAGGAACTCCAACGTGGGGAAGTCGCCAAATGTAGCTACTTGGATATGGTCGCGCTGAAAGGAACCGCAGTAACACGATCGGGGTGAAGCCATGGCAAGCCACCTGTGGCGCCAGTGTAAAAGATCTTCTTTTTCGATTAAAAGAACCATATTTTCTTTAAAGAAAAATCGACGTTACGTGGCCGCCGCGTCGTCCCACGTCGTCCAGGTGGATGTACTACATAGATCGATATAATATGCAGAGAGGGAGGAAGGGTGCGAGGTTACATGTAACCGAGCACGCGCGCGCAGGGAGGAGCCCGGCCCAACCGCCCGGAAGTTCGAAACCGAAGCGAAAGCGTATCTTCGATCTTCGGGCGCCGGGGGTTTTCGCGGTCCGAGCGTATTTTTGGGTTGGCTGGTTCGTGGATCTCTGGGAAGATGACGAAGGAAGCAGCGCGCAGCCGGACGCTGGCCGAGCACTGGGCCTCGATCAAGTGGCCGATGGTGGGCTTCCAGGGCGCATGCCACGTGCTCGCGGCAGTCGGCCTCTTCTACGTGCCCACGTGCCAATGGAAGACATGGCTCTTCGCGGCCGTGCTTGCCGAGTTCTCGATCCTCGGCGTCACCGCGGGCGTCCACCGCCTCTGGACGCACAAGAGCTACCAGGCCCACTGGACCGTGCGCCTCTTCCTGATGCTCTGCTTTAGCGTCTCGAACCAAGGCGCGATCGTCGAGTGGGTCCGCGACCACCGCATCCACCACAAGTACTCGGAGACCGACGCCGATCCGCACACGGCCAGCCGCGGCCTCTTCTTCGCCCACATTGGCTGGCTGCTCACGAAGGAGCACCCCAAGTTTACGGAAGCCTGCAAAACAACGTCGTGCGACGACCTCCTCGACGACTGGGTCGTGCAGCTGCAACTCGCGGGCTCGCCGTACTCGGACCTTGTGTGCAGCTTTGTCTTCCCGACGCTTGTGGCCTACTACGGCTGGAACGAAGACATACTGCATGCTCTCCTCGTCGCGGGCTGTGTTCGGTACGTCTTCATCTTGCACTGCACGTGCCTTGTCAACAGCGTGGCCCACTTTTACGGCTCGACGCCGTACGACCCCAACATCCACCCGACCGAGAACCGGTGGGTCGCGCTTCTTACGGTGGGCGAAGGCTGGCACAACTGGCACCACACGTTTCCGTACGACTACGCGTGCAGTGAGCTCGGTGCGAAAGGCCAGTACAATCCGTCCAAGATGTTCATTGACGCGTGCGCGGCGATCGGGCTCGTGACGGGCCGGAAGCGCGCGCTCCACGCATGGCAGACAAAGCAGCACAAGCTCTACGCCCAGCACGAAGCCAAGCAGTTTTAGTAGTGCTGGCATGTAAGACGACGGCAATCCATTTGCACGTGTGTTATCATTCGTACGTCTGGAGCTGCGCCATGAGCGCTCTGTTCTCGTCGCGGACCTGCGCCAAGTCGGCCTCGATCTGGTCGCAGTTGGCCACGTTCAGGCGGTTCGAGAGCTGCGCGATCCAGGTGGAGAGGTCGCGCGTCTGGTTCTCGCGCTTCCCACCGTCGTTGACACATCTACATGTATGTCGTTGCATTAGTCGACGGGACGAGGTCAAGGGGTGCTACCGAATGAGCTCGTCAAAGAGCTCGCGTATCGTCGTGAAGAGGCGGTAGCACTCGACGTACTGCGTGCGCTTGTCGCTCTTGTGGCTCGCGTCGTTGGCAGCGTGGAAGAGCCGCTCCTCTGCGATCGCCTCGCTGCGCTTGAGCTTCTCGGACGAGACATTGATGTGCTTTTGCACACGGCGAATGTCTTGCAGAATCTAGCATGCCATGATGCCAGGCCAGATGACTGACTGAGATGCGTGCCTTGGCGATGTCGGCCTTTTGCTTGTGCACCTGCTTGATGATGTCCATGATGCGCGACGTATAGACGCTGCGGTTGATCGCCTTGGGCGCCATCGCGTACTTGCGCTCGAGCGCCTCGCGCTGCGCCTTCTTTTGCCCGAGGCTCTCGACTGGACCATCTCAGCTTCTGCCATGTACGTACAAGACGGCGTACCCAGGCTCATCATCTCGTCGCGGTAAGCAGCGATCGTGCCTTGGAGACGGCGGCAGTCTTCTTCGTACGCGCACTGCGTTGCTGCCTGGGCCGCAATCGCCGTATCCAACGGAGCGCGGTGCGCCGCCCACTCCATTGAGAGCGATGCCAACCGCTGGACGCTGGCATCGCACATGGTCTGCGTGCGTGTCTGAGCCCACACACGCAGTGAACTGAGGGATCTCTACCTGGAGCTTGACCATGTTTTTGGACGCGTCAGCCACCATGTCGAGGGTTTGCTGGCGAATGTCGACGTCGTGCTGCAGCGCCGCGAGCTCTGCTTCGATCGTGTGCTGCTGGGTGCCGGCCTACGCCCCTTGCTGACGTGCGATTGTACTTGCAGCGGTCGTACCGCGGCCTCTTGCTCGGTGGCGAGCGCGATGTGCGCCTGGAGCTGCTCGATCGTCGCGGTCGTCGCCTCGTACTGGCTTTGCAGAGCAAGCACGTGCGCCTTCTAGAGCACAGTAGGTATTGAGCGATGCAATGCGACAACACACACCTGAACATCGAGAGCCGCTATGTCGACCTGGACGGCGACCGGCGGCGGCGATTCCACGATATCGGGCGGCGCTGATGGAGGCAGCGACACGGACACAGGACGGAGCATGGACGATGGCGTGATGGACATAAGAACGGACGAGGTGGCGACGGGATGTGCCAGAGCAAGCGACTGCAAGGCAACGGTCACCTCGCGTGGCACCTAGAGCATTCCGCAACGTAGCTCATCAGGCCAAGGAACCATACCGTCGACGACACGCTGGACAAGAGCGCTGCGCGTGGTCCGTGCCCGTCATGACTCAAGCTTGCGGCTTCGTTCAGCGCAAGGAGCGAAAGCTGCTTGTGTTGAGATACGAGCTTCGCGTCGGTCGCGAGCGGCTGCTTGGTCGTGACGTACGTGCTGCGCGCTGCGTGGCGTTAGCAGAACCGTGAACGAAAGCATGGACATACCCAAGGTCGTGCTCGAGCTGAAAAAGTCGGGTAGCGGTGAGGCACGGGGCATCGTAGCCATCGCGGTAGACGCTCGTGCCGACGACGAAGGCGCTTGCATCCAGAGCGAGAGCGCGTCTGCGAGCGTCTTCCGCACCTGCATCTCTGGCGACGCTTCTTCCATGTCGTCGCGCTCGACTTTTGGAAGCTTCTGCACGAGCCAAAGCAGCAGCTGGCGGGTGTCGTACTCGCTCGGGTACAGCAAGTGGTTGTAGCCGCAGTCGCCATTGTATCCATGTGCCTACCACCAGCTCCATGAGCGGCCGCAGTGCAATGGGCAACGCAGGTACCTTAATCCGCTCGGCAAAGGCCGCGGCGAGGCGGTGCCGCTGGGCGACCCCCTTTGGGTACGGGGCGGCCGCGTTGCTCGCCGCGCCATCGATTCGCCCGAGGCCCCAGGCCACGAGGGGCACGAGGTCTTCGCCTGCCATGGCGCCAATCCGCGGCAGCTCCTTCGACCATCTAGCACGACGTGATGCATGACGAGGCTCCTCGCCGCACGTACCCGCTCTCTGCGAGCGTCTGCGCGATCAGGTTGTCGGCTTCGTCCATCGCTCGAAAGATATCGAAAGCAGACTCCAATCAGGGCCATGCTCATTGGACAAAAATACAATGTTTCAACCAATCGAAAACACAAGAGGTCCCAACCACAGCCAGCTACATGTAGCGTAGCCCCGAGCTGGTATATACTTATAGTTCTGTTGAGACCAACAAGGCTAACTGTAAATTGACGTGCCAGTGTTGGGCCAAGCGGATGTGCCAACACCGGTTCTTCACGTTCCGGCGTATCGAAATTCTACCCAGTAGTACAGTGGACCAGCCGAGATGGGAAGATCGCCGCCATGTTGTAGCAACTTCTCCGAAGTAATCAATGCGCCTGCATGGCCATTGACCTATTAGCTAGCCGCAGCAGTCTACTAGAGCTTGTGCCGAGTGCTTCAACGAGGCGAGAAGCGCTGGCTCGGTGGTCTCGAGCCTGGCGATGCCGTCACCGGATACGACGTTTTATCCGAACAGCCAACGACCATCCAATTAAAAATCTTATTGCACGGCCAAGATGATGCTCAGCAGCAACGAGCGCGACTTCCTCGTCGCGGCCTTGAAGAACCAAAAGTCCGAGAACGCAGTCCAGCGCGCCGATGGACGTGGCCTCCTCGAGTTCCGCCGTATGAACCTCTCTCTGCGCCGCAGCATGCACGAGTCCCAGAGCGAGTGCGAGTTGCAGCTTGGCCGGACGCGCGTGCTGGCGGTCGTCTCGGGCGAAGTCGTCGCGCCGTTCCCGGACCGACCGACCGAAGGCTTTCTTCAGTTCAGCGTTGAGCTCTCGCCAATGGGCGCGTCGATCTTTGAGCACAAGCAGGCCCACAAGGCATGGTCGGCCGAGCTCTCCCGCATCGTCGAGCGCTCGATCCGCGACTGCAAGGCGCTCGTACGTTGAATCTCGTCGATGCTCTGTCGTCTGGTGTACGACGATGCACTAGGACACTGAAGCGCTGGCCATCGTCGCGGGCGAGAGCGTCTGGGCCATCAAGTGCACGATCCACGTGCTCGACCACGGCGGCAACCTCGTCGACGCCGTCTCGATCGCGTCGATCGCAGCGCTCATGCACTTTCGCCGCCCCGAGACGCTGAGTACGTGGCGAAGTCGACTCTCTCTGGGCTCACACGGAGGCTAGACGACCCGGACTGCGCGCTCATCCCGCTCAGCTTGCACCACATTCCGGTGTCGATCTCGTTCAGCTTCGTGCAGCTGGACGCCGTACGCTCGTCCGTGTCGTCTGCGCCATGTTCATGTACCCCTGGACATAGAACGACCAAGACGACCCGGTCGTCCTCATTGACCCGACGGACCGCGAAGAAAAGATCGTCGACGGCGCGATCACATACACGTTCAACTCGTTCCGGGAGCTCTGCGCCGTGCACAAGATTGGCGGCGTCTCGATCTCGACCGACATTGTGCTGCGCTGCGCCAACATTGCCGCGGCCAAGGTCTCCTTCGAGTTGGCCGTCGCTTGCTAAACGCTCGCTGTGTGCGCAGGCGGAAGAGCTGACCGACATGCTCAAGGAGGCCACCGAGACGGCCGATCGCGACGCCATTGAGCAGCGCCGGGCGCTTCTGCGCGGCAAGGAGTTTCACGACAAGTCGGTCGCGGCCCTCTCGACCCAAGTACGCCCAACGTATTGCAAGACTGGATGATTGACCGCGTGCGACTTGTAGAAGGCCGTGCCGCTCGATGTGTCGGGCCTCGACAAGGCCATGGAAGAGATTGTGGATTTTGCGACGCTGCATGCGCCGATTCCGTTGCGCAACGATGACCCGGCGGTCAAGAAGGCAGCGACGCGCGAGCTCATGGAGTCGCTCGAGTCGTCCGCAGGTAGGCCTCATCCTAGGTGTTTTGGCCTCGGGTATCAGCATATGCGTAGAAGGTCTGGCCATCACGCAGGCTGCGCGCGATCACTTTCACCAGCTCACGCAGACGGTCCACGTGGCACCCAAGCCGGCGATGGCCGACACCAAGATGTACGACAGCGACAGCGACGAAGAAGAGGACGTCGTCATGCACGTACAAAGCGAGTACCTGCCGACGCCGCCCAAGAAGGTGGAGGTCGCGGACGAAGAGAGCGGCAGCTCGGACGAAGAAGACTTGATGGCCGCCATCAAGCGCAAGTAGTGGTAGACTACGATCAAATATACGCCGTGTTCACTTTAGTAGAAGCCAGGCTGGGCGCCAGGACATTTATTGACGGGTGGAGAGGATCATGTGAATCTTTTCGATCTTCGTCGAGAGCGAGAGATCGATAAAGAGGTCGGCGATCTGGACCTTGAGGCCGCCAAGGATCGTCGGGTCGACGACCGTCTCCAAGAGCAACGTCTCGCCCTTCTGGATGCGGGCCTTCAACGCGGTCTGCACCTGCGCGAGCTGCTCCTTCGTCAACGGGTCAGCCGACGTGATCTTGGCCTGGACCTCGCCACGGTGGGCGCGCATCAAGCGGTTGTACGCCGCAATGACGTGCTTGGCGTCGCCGAGGCGGCCGTTCTCGGCAAGGACCGTGAACAGACCCGAGACCGGCTTGGAGAACTTGGCGGCGTCCATGACCTTGGCGATGTCGGCCTTCTTCTCGCCACGCGCGATCGTCGGGTCCTTGAGGAACTCGGCGAAGGTCGGGTTCTTGGCGATCTCCTCATGGATCGTCTTGAGCTCGCCCTCGACGGCCTCGAGCACGTTCTGCTTGGACGCGACCGAGTAGAGCGCGTTGGCGTACTTGGCGTGGAGGCCGAAGAGCGAGAGCTTGGGCGCGTGCATCTTGGCGAAGCCGTCGATCGTGGCCTCGCCCGAGGCCGCGGCCGTGCTCATGGCGCGCTGGACGGTCTTGCGGAACATGGTTCTTATAGCTTCGTAGGGAAAATTACGCAGTCAGTAAATGCTGCGCCACACACGCTGGCCACTCACGTCGACTTTGCACTTTCGATTTTCCTCTATCAATCCATATTGCCATTAGCCCTCGCAATATATGTATTGTGAGAGGTTGTTCGACCCGCCGCGACGATCTTGAAAGGGCGCGTTGGCCGACGCTTGCCGAGGACAAGGTGTCCCATCTGCAAGAATAAGATGCGTAGTGGTCAACCTTGCTAATGATTAGCTTGGCTCGGTGGACCGGTGTGAGTTGCAACTTGGGCAATGGCTGCACTTTGACTTGGATGGGTTCCGGCCGCAGGCAGCTGCGGGGCGGCGTGACCCAAGAGCTGAGTGAACTCGCCATCGCTGCGGTCTCTGCAACGACGCGCCGTAGGGCGATGACCTCGAGTGTTGCATCATCATCATCATCACCATGATCTGGACTGTCGCATGCGGCCACGTCGTCGGGCGCTGCTGCGACGCCGCACTCTTCGCACCGGTCGTCGCCTCTCTGTGATCTTGGGGCGGTGTCCGACAGGCTCCACATCGTGGCGGCATCGACCATTGTCGGCCTGGACGGGTGCATGTCGTGACACCCCATGCAGGCACGCTCGCCGCTGGCGCAGAGCAGCGCCGGGTCCACGAACGGCGCCAGTTCTCGGATCGTTGCGTCGTCAAGGCGCATGTTTTGGCTAGCGGCAGCGGTGCAAAGGCGCTGGAGTAGCTGGGTCTGTGCTGCGACCGTGGCGTCGCGTGCACTCAGGACAGTTGCCCAGTAGGCTTTCTCGCACTCGCGGCGCTCCTTGGTGGCAGCGGCGACGGCCGCGGCGAACTCGAGTTCCATCGTGACGGCTTCGTACGACTGCCACAGCTGCCGCGCCTCGGCGTCTCCGAGCTTTACACCGGGACTCGTCGGGTGGCTGTCAGTTTTGGCGGGCGGCGCTCCATCGAGTAGCGGTTGCTCGATGCGGATCGGAATCTTCTCTGGTGGCTCGGCCCCCACGCGCACCTACAAAGGCGCGTTAGCTACACGCGGTCAACGAAGCATCATCGGACTGCGCTGGCGGCCCGCTTGTGGCGGAAGCGCTTCATGAAGCTGCCTTTTTACCCACTATAAATAGAGCGAGCAGCGACGCATATATGGAGAAAGGACGCCTCCAGATGCGCTCGATGAGCCTGACGGGGACAGCCTTGGTCGTGGCCACAACCTCCTCCAAGAGCGATCACATCGTCACGAGTGCATCCCGGATACCCGTGCGCCGCCCGCCGACGCCAAGCACCGACGCACCTGCTGCTATCGAGAGCAGACCCGTGCCGAGCGACGTGCCACTGACGGTGGAGCCCGAAACAACCAACGAAGCGAGGCTGTGGACCACCATCGATGGCCTCACCAGCGAGCTCGAGGCAGTCGCGGCCGTGGCGACCGCGCGGGCGGCGGTGCATGCTGCCCAGATGCACGCGGCCGAGACGCAGCTTGCCGCGACGACCGCCGCGCTCGACCGGCTTCGCAGCGGCGTGTACGACACGGTCGCCGCATGCTTCTTGCACGAGCTGCACACGGGCGAGACGGACGCGCTGAGCGAGTGCATGGCGCAAGCGACGGCGGGCGATGACGCGGCGCTCGCGTGGATCCAGGCGTGCTTTGGCCGACGGCTCCTCCACGCGCGCCGGCACTTGGCCCCGGACAAGGTGCCCGACACGGCCGTGCTCTACATGGAGAGCGCTGTGCGCGTCCTCGCCGGCATCGTCCCCGAAGACGAAGACACGATGCCGCTCCCGACGCTCTCGCTCGAGGTGCGAGCAGCCTTAGCATCCGTGTACATGATCGCATCCTTTGGTAGACTCCGTCGATCGCAAGCATGGCGTCGCGGCGGTACCAGCCAACGTTTGTGGACCGGTCCGCGCCCTTGCGTCGGTGCCTCCGCACTGTCTTTGAGCGGCTCGGCGCCCACAGCCAGACGCTCAAGGTAGTCGTCTACGTTGCCGACTCGTATTCATCTTTTGAACCTCCCGACAGGTCGTGCTTGTGCACCCGCCGCTCTGGACCGCGTCCGAGCGTGACCGCGTCTCGCACTTGCTCTGGCACGAGTTTTACGTGCCGGCGCTGCTCTTGACGACGACGGCCGAGGTCATCTTGCGCGCCGCGGGTCTCTCGAGCGGCGTCGTGGTTGACGTTGGGCCGTACACGACGACGATCGTGCCGATCTACAACGACCGCATCGTACGAGAGATGCAAGCCGTGAGTGCTCACGATCGTCGTCCTCTGCAGGTGACCCACGCAACGCTGACGCTGCCCGGCGGCCGCGACATGGTCCTCCACGCCACGTGGGGCGCTCTGCGGGAGCACGGCGCGTTCGGCGCCGTCGCCGACGAAGAAGACCAGTTCGACGCGGCCGAGCAGCTACTGGTAATGCTGCTGGACTCGATGCACGAGCCGACATGCCGCGTAGAGAACGCATGGGTTTGTGGCCTACGACGTCGCTGCCGAGCGCGCCAAGCGGTACGACGTCTCGCTCGACCATGATTGCCCATGCGAGAGTAGACCGACCGACGTCCACATGACGTGGCGCCACGAGAGTCGTCTCATCACGTCATCCGCAGCGCTCTTTGAAGGCCCGGAACAGCTCTTCCACCCGAGTCGCGACGACGGTAGGCCGAGCGCTTGACTCGGACGCACCATTAGCTTCCTCCTGCAGGCAAGAGCCTCCAAGAAGCCGTGCTGTCGGCCATCGACCGCTGCAACCCAGTGGTGCGCGCCGAGCTGGCCGCGGCCATCGTTCTCAACGGCGCACTCACGACGCTGCCCGGCTTCAAGCGGCGACTGACGCGGGAGCTCATTCTGCTGCGACACGACCTCCTCGGGCAGCTCCGTCTGCACGACGGCCACGGCTTCGTGGGCGCGTGCACGCTCGCGCGCTTCGCCCACGACGACGTGTGGATAGTGCGTTGACACGCAAACAAAAAGTGCTTGACAGGTTGCTTCTTCATCGTTATTATCTTGATCACGGGGGTGGATTCCCTTGTCTTCATGTACATACAGACGCCACTACGAGGCGACTACGCGTCTTCGCCGCGGAGGGCGAGCGCGGCCGCAGTGAGCGCGGCGCGGTCTCGCGCGCTCTCAATGCCGAGGAAATTGAAATCGTCGTCGCCGAGCCCCGTCTACGCAAATAAAGTTCCATCTATCAATCGGGACTCTCAATATGTACTTCGCGGATAAAGTCGAGCGTGCCAAAGCCCTTGGCCTTGAAGGTCGCATAGTACTGCGCGGCGCCGAGCGCGTGCAGCCACTTGTAAATCTCGTCGTTCGTGTCGACCGAGTTGTCTGCAGCAAGTGCCTTGGACGGCGACGGCGACTGGTGCATCGCCACCTTGATCGCACGCACAAAGAGCGCGACCCAGAGCTGCATCTCCTGGAGGGACGCGGCCTGGAAGGCCCACTTGTTGTGCAGGCTCTTGCTCTTGAGCGTCCAGCGCCGGGCCTTTTTCTTCAGGCGATGCATGAATGTCGGGATATTGATGCGGAGCCCGAAGACGGAGAGGTCTTTGACCAGCGGCGTTGTTACCTGGAAGAGCTGGCACTGATCTAGTGGCACGGGCGACGGCTTGTGCTTGATCTTTTGGTGCCCGTCGGCCTCGAGCTGCGCAATCTCGTTGTAAATAGCTTGCGATTTGTACACAAGAAGGGCCGAGTCGCGCACGACCACGTAGCGCTGGCGCCAGCGGCCGACGCAGTTGCGGACGAGCAGCGCGCCCTCGTACGCGGGCGGCGCCTCGTCTTCGTGGACTGCGATCGAGAGCCGCGACGACTCGTCCAGCACCGAGCGCACCTCGTCCTCAAGCGGGTCGAACGCTTCGGGCGTCGCCTCCACAAGGTCCTTCTTGAGGTCTTCGAGCCATTCGACCACCTACGTCGCATGAGGACAAGGCTATCAACTATGATCTACCTCGTGGCTGCTGGGCCGGCCGTCGGGCTCAAACGACGTGCAGTTGTCGGCGAGGAGCACGAGCGACGGCGGGCAGTCGGCGGGCACGGCGGCGTGGAACTCGTCGAGGTCGATCACGAAGTTCTTGGCCGGAACTCGCAGGAGGAAATCGTCCTTGTTGACCTACGTCTTTTGCGTCACCGTCCGTCACCCTCCAGACATCATCAAGTACCTCGCGCCGGCAAATGAGCTCGATGAGCACGACGCCGAACGAGTACATGTCGGCGCGGTCGTTGTAGTCCTCGTTAAAGTACATCTCCTATGCATGTGCTTTGGATAAGACGACGACGATGGTGACCATGATGAATGTGAGGATGATGATCGAGGCGTACCGGGGACATGTAGGCGTCGGTGCCGCAGAGCGACATCTTGCGTCGCATGCGTCCGCCAGCGTTCTCGTCCGACGAGTACCCGTCGTGGCCATCGTCGTGGTGCACGGCCTTGCGCGCAAAGCCAAAGTCGCAGAGGCGGCTGCGCAGGTTGGCGTCGAGCTACGAAAAAGTAGCATGAGCGATACGACCGAGAGATGTAGACGAAGCGCACGAGGATGTTGGCCGACTTGACGTCGCGGTGGATGATGCTGCGCTCGTGGAGGTACTGCAGTGCATCGGCCGCGTCCAGCGCGATCTGGACGCATTGCAGCCAGGACAAAGCGTCGCGTTTCTTGGTCGTCTTCTTCAATAACTTACTCACGTCGCCGCCCTTGTAGAACTCGGAGACGATCCACACCTCCTTGTTGCCCATGTGCTCGTACTCGCACGACCCAATGTACTTGAGCAAATGCGGGTGGTCGATCTGCTGGAGGATCGCAAGCTCGCGCAAGATGTGGGCGTCCTTCGTCTGGCGCTTGAGGGCGACGGCCTTGCCCTTGTACGTGGCCGAGTACACGGTCGAGAAGGCGCCGTGGCCGATGATCGGCCCGAGCGTCAAGTCGCCGGGCACGAGCGTGTGTTCGATCGTCACGTCGACGTCGTCGTCCATGAGCGCTGTCTCGACGCTCGCGGTCAGCGTCTCTATGTTGTTGTCGTCGGCCACGCGCTTGTGGGCGGCGAGGCTGCTGGTCGGTCGGCTCGTCGGGGTGCTGGGCATGCTGGAGACTGCGCTTGGTCTGGATCCAAAAATATGGTCAGCCTTTACGTGTTCTATCCGCAAGAGGGGCCTATGCCAATCACACTTTTTTATCTCCCATTTATTGACACTCAATGTTTGTATGTACCATGGTGAAACGCAATTAAATGCGGAGGGGGACCCATAAAACGGGACCGCACGGTCGCAATTCTCTCGCAAAAAAGAAAGGAAATCGACGGAGGACGACGGCGACGACCACGCGACGGGCCGTGGTAGCCGGCGCCGCCAGCATACCGTACTGACGCATGGAGTGCGATCGTGCAGCGTAATGCCACGTGGGTGCTGAACTCGATGACGCAGCCAGATGCAGAGAGATACATTCGCACGCAGGCGTCCGGTTAACCCACCCAGGACGAGACCACTACGGGCTCTTGCTACGGCTACGGCTACGGCTATGGCTGCGACGGCGGCTGCGACTACGGCTGCGACTGCGGCTGGAGCTGCGGCTGCGACTTCGACTGCTAAAGCTCCGCGCTCGCTGGCGGTATCCACCCCTACGATGATAGGCTGGGTTCGGGCAAGAAAACCTCCGACATACCGTGGCGAGCGACTGCGGGACCGGCTACGGCGGCGCGGCGGCGACCGCGAGCGAGACCGAGAGGGGCGACGGCCGCGGGGCACGAACGGCGACGGCCGGCGGCGGTCGTTCTGGAAGCGGGGATTGCCGCGGGGCGGGCTTCTGCAGGTTCACGACCAGTGTGAGTCCAGCACCACGTGCGGGTTGGAAGGTACCGTCTGCGAAAGGGCGAAGGACCCCGGCGACCGCCATTCGGCGGAGAGCGGCTCCTATCAGTGGCGCATGAGTTTCATGATGTAATACGTTAATCAACGTACCGTCGACGCAAGGGCGAGTTGCCGCGGCGGTTGTTCGGAGGCGATCTAAGCACAGCAAGGTCATGTGTTTTGGATCGCATCGACGCTTCTCGTACCTCCGACGAAAGGGGGAAGGCCGACGCCGGCGATCGTTTGGCTTGCGGCTCGGCGAGCGCGACGGACTGCGGTTCGACTTGCGCTCGACCAAGACAAAGTTGACCTGGATCTTGTTGCCGTCAATCTGTCCCTCGTGCATGTGAAGCTGGGCTGTCTCAGCCTCCGCGCGCTTGGCAAACTGAATGTAGGCGAAACCCTTGGACAAGCGCGAGACCTTGTCCGTCTCCAGGTTTACATTTTGAACCGTGCCAAACTTGCCAAAGATCTCCGACAAGTGGTCCGGGTTGACGTTCCTACGCGCCTCTGATGAGCCTCGACCACCAGTCGCTCATGAAAAGTACCGGGTGAGGTTCGCCACGTGCAGCGAGGCCCCGTCGTCGGGGCTTGGGCTACGGCTCTTGCGGCCCTTGGATTCGTTGCTGCGGCTGCGACTCTTGCGGCCACGCGATCGCGAGCGTGACCCGGAGCTGGACCGAGAGCTGTAGCTCGACCGGCTGCTTCGGCTGTCGCTGCGACTGCGGCTGACGCTGCGGCTATAGCTCCGCCCTCGGCCACGCGGCCCGCGATCGCGGCTGAAGCTTCGGCGGAGTCCGCGTCCTCCGCGGCCTCGCCCGCGGCTCGGGCTGCGACTGAAGCTGCGTCGGCCCATCGCGTGGATCTTTCTTTGAACCACACACTGCCCCGGACTATCCAATGTCGGAGGTTCCACTCTATACTGCCAGAATGCATACTTATTTGTAGAGGTACACATCACAGTACCTGTGAGATTTAATACAACTGGAACAAATAACCGACAGGTTTATCGCGTTTTACTCATCGAGATTCCTCCTGGCCCACCAACCGAGCTACTACTCGACAGCTCGTGATGGCCACCCTTCTACAAGGCGCTCAGCTGACAGCTGCAGCTGACGTGTGCCCGATTGCGCAGCGCAGAGCAGCGACGCGCTGTTCCGAGGGTATCTGCTAGCATCGCAACGTGGGCCTTTTCTGCACCTCGGACGGCCGCAGGTGCAGGAATTTTTGCGGCCCTTGCCACAAGTAGCATGTTCCGCGGCGCCAAAGACGCACTGAGGGCGGCAAACGCTCGATGGCAAGCGCGGCGATTGAGGCGCAAGCATACACGTAGGTTCGAGAGAGTTCGAAAAACGTGAGTAAAACCTACACGTTAAAGACATGGTTAAACAGCAACATGGCGGGGATGCTGGAAGAGTACGAGCTCGGCGACCTCCTTGGGTCCGGGTCCTCGGCCCAGGTGTACTGGGCACAGCGCCTCCGTGACGAAGAGCTCGTAGCCATCAAGGTCGTCGACAAGCTCCAGCATGCACAGCTCCGGACGCAGTCCAAGTCCCAGGCGCGGTCCGAGGAGATGCAGGAGCTGGCGATCCAGCGCAGCCTAGACCACCCCAACATTCTCAAGATCCTCGACGTCTTCCAGGACGCGCGCAACGTGTTCATCGTGCTCGAGCCGTGCGCGCGTGGCTCGCTGCAGGCGCTTGTCAAGGGCAAGCGGTGCGATCCTATCTCTCCTCTGCATGTCTCCGTACGATCCCACATGTAGGCCTGTGGTCGAAGACGAGGCCAAGCACTACGTCTACCAGCTTGTATCGGGCGTCGACTACCTCCATCGTGCGCACATCATCCATCGCGACCTTAAGCTCTCGAACCTCCTCGTGACCGAGCAGGGCACGCTCAAAATCGCCGACTTTGGCTTGGCGACGAGCTTCACCCGCCATACACCACCGTCCACGATCTGCGGGACGCCCAACTTTATCGCACCCGAAGTGCTGCTTGGCAAGCCGTACTCGTACGCCGCCGACCTCTGGTCCATCGGCTGCATCGTCTTCACGCTGCTGACGGGCCACCCGCCGTTCCAAGGCGACTCGGTCAGGTATTCCTCTCTCTACGTCTGGCAGCTTGAGAGCGTTTGTGGATGTAGCGACACGCTGCGCAACATTAGTGCACAGACATCGTCGCTGGCGTTCCCACCGTTCGTGTCATCGACAGCACAGGACTTTGTTCGGTCGCTGCTGTGCGTGGTACACCAACCCAAGCATTCCTCTGGATACATCAATGCGTCGGCGTAGGAACCGGCCGAGCGATTGCCGTGCCACGCACTGTCACACCACCCGTGGCTCCAGCCGACGACAGCGCGCAGGAAAGCAGCCAAGACCAAGCGCCCTGCGCGTAGCCGACGGGCACCCGCGGTTGTCGTGGCCGAGTCGTCGAGCTCGTCGTCGCAGCACAGCGAGAAGAGCGACGTGGAAGACGAAGACATTGCAAAGGTTCCGATCATCCAAAGGAGCAAGCGACTGACGTATCCCTCTGGAGGTTTTAGCTGCAAACGATGCTCGACAAAATCACCGCCAGCGACCGACGCGCGCCGCGAGGGGCGGTGACAGCCGTGAGCGCCGAGCCAACGGCCGTCGAGGACGACCCGTTGCCGTCGTTCCACGACCACGCGGAGTTCCAAGTCGAGTACCACTCGATCCTCGACTTGCCTCCAGACGAGATCATGGGCACGCTGCACTGTACGTGGACGCCCGAGGCGTTGACGCTCAGTGGCCGTCGCGGCGAGGTCGTGCGCTACTCCCTGCACGACGCCCGCGTCACGGGCCAGCTCCGCGACGAGACTCTCTTCGACGTGTGCATCACGGACATGGCTCCGAGTCTGCCGCGCACCATGACGTGGGTGCGACTCGCGCAAGTGTGCCTCCACTTGTACCTTTCAGCGCCACGATCTATGATCGAGACGCTGCGTCTGTCGGACGACGTGATCGAGAGTCTGGCGCGCAACGAGAGCCTCGAGCGAACGATTCGCGCGCAGCAGCAAGCGCCGCATCGTTTCAAGACCAACTCGGACTCGGTGCGGTCAGCCGACCTCTTTGGCATTGGCCGTGGCGAATGCCTTGCAGACGGCACCTTGCGTATCGCATTCGTCGACGGAAGCGAGCTCGTCCTGGACGGTGGCGCGTCCACCGTCGAGTTCCGAGAGCCGGACGGCGGGCGGTACGAGCAGTACCCCTTGGGCGCCTCCGCCGTCGCGACGATCCCGTCAGCCATCTCGCGGAAGCTAAAGTACGTCTCGCTGTTCGTGCAGGCCATGAAGAAGCAGCGACCGAGCACGTCGCAATGAGTTGGGCCCACTTGTGGCGTGCGACGTTTGGAGCTGCACTTGTATGAATAACGTTTAGCAATACAACTACGCACTTATATATATGTTCTAGCTGGCCGGTTTCAGAGACGCAAGGGCATGGAAACCGACGCCGAGCCGCCGCAGCCGAGCGACGCGCCATTGCCAGCAATCGAGACGCTCACCATCTGCACTGAGGACCCGCCGACGCCGGCATCCGAGCCTCTGAGTGAGCGCGGTGACAACAACGACACAGGCCCCTCCTCCTCGTACGACCGAGGACCACCCGATTGTCGAGGCCATGCTTGGCACCGTCGTTAAAGACGTCGACAACTTTTACCTCTCGCTAGACGACCTCGACGTGCGCGTCGTCCTGCATGTGGCGTCAGCGCTCTCAGCCCTCGCCGCGGCCGAGCCGATGACGACCGTGCGCAACGTGCGTCTCCTCAGCTGTGTCTTGGGCCTCGAGACCATCGGCGCGTGGCTCGAGCGCTACGGCGTCGACTGCCTCCGCCCGCTCCTCAAGGCGTCCATCCGGCGGCAGCGGCGCTCGTTCAACGACGCGCCGACGCAGCTAGCACTCATTTTGACGACGTTCAACATCACATCTGCGGTGCTGAGCGTGCGTGACGAGCTGCCATCATCGCCTTCTGTGTCGACGGTCCCCGTGCCACCGTCACTGCCGAGCTCGCCCAAGAAGCGGCGGCGACCGCCGGCAGCCTCGTCGCCGCGGCAGGCGGGTGCGCCGCAAGAGGGCCTCCACCTGCTCCTCGCCGAGGTGATGCACAAGTACCAGCACCGAACACTGTCGCGCAAGCCGCAGTTTAGCATTGCCAAAGCGTCACCAACTGCGGCGAATGCAGCTTCTCGGCGGCAGCTCTCGCTCTCGTACGGCAACATGAAAGGCAAAGTCGCCGCCACGTCGCCTTCCTCCACTGCATCCTAAAGTAATATCCTTGAAGTGTACTCATCTCTGGCAATGGGCGTTGGGAAACGGGCGTCGGGTTCACTTTTGGATTGGGCGGTCGCGGAACGCAGTCGGGATGGCCAACTAGTACGTCGTGGCATTATCATCATCATCATGCTGCTGCTGCTCAAGACTGTCTTAGCACCTTTGACACGAAATGGCAGTCGGCCATGACCGAGCTCAACGAGCAAGTGCACATTGAGGACCACACGCTGGACGCGGAAGAGGGCCAAGAGGTGCAGCCGCCGCCGGATGTCTCGATGCTCGAGGCCTTCCAGCACTACGCGTGCCTCTACATCAAGTACGTCCAGATCTTTACTACGCTCGAAGAGTGCTACGACCAAATGGTGCACCCGCAAAAGCGCATCGACGTCAAGAAGATCATGGAGCTCGTCATGGTAGTGTACCTCCTCTTCCTCGTGCTGCATGCATAGAGGCGCGTAGACGCGCGTGGTGGAGCTCAAGCACGACCTCGTGAAATGGAACCCGCCCAACCCCGACGTACGCACGACGCCCGAGCAAAACTTCCCGTGGGAGTACGTCAACCTCGACGACCTCCTCGTCGACCTCAAGCTGCCGCCGAGCCTCCTCGAAGTGCCTGTGCCGCGCTACTTTGTCGAAGACAGCAGCGCCGAGCTCAAGAAACGCGACCGTGTACGAGCACATCTATCGTCTGTCGTGGGTCTCATGCATCTCGCCTAGCTCGTCAAGGGCTACATGAAGCTCAAGCTCGGCGTCGAAGCGCTGTACATTGATGACAGCGATGCCAGCGTCTCGCTCGCCGACGCGGTACAACCCTCTCGCAGCATGCGACGGAATAAGAGCTCGGTGCTAGATGTCGCTGGACGAAGCGCTGCAGATCATCCAGCGCAACGAACGCGGGCGGCAAGGCCGGCAGCGCGGCCTCCTCGTGCACGAACTCCGCGAGGAAGAGAAGCAGCGCCGCATCTACGACAACACGCAGACGCCCGAGATGGACCCGGAGCTCGCGGCCGCCAACATCCAGCGCGTCTTCCGCGGCCACAACTCGCGCGGGAAGGCGGCGATCGAGCGCGACGACGAGCTGGTCTTCATCGGCATGAAGCCGCCGGTGGTCGACAAGGCGCTCGAGCTCGAGGCGGCGCTCGCACTGGCCAAGATCAAGCGCAAGACGCAGCAGGCCGACAACAAGGACGAGTACGAGAAATCGCTCGGCGACATCCACGAGACGGTGGCGTCCGAGGAAGGGCCGTTCATGAAGGAGAAGCTCCTCGAGGAGCGCCGGAAATGGATCTCCGACATGATGGCGCTCGGCCAGCTGCCCGAAGACCTCGCGGGCTACTACCTCATGATCAACCCGCCGCCGCCCGAGGCCGAGCCCAAGGTCGACGCGGACGCGAAAGGCAAGAAGGACAAGAAAGAGGACAAGAAGGGGAAGAAGGGCAAGGAGGAAAAGGGCAAAAAAAGCAAAAAAGACGAAAAAAAGGTCGAAGCCGAGGCGCCGCCCGAGCGCCCGCCGCCGCTCACGGGCCCGAGCGAGCTCTGCACCAACATGGCCGGCGGCGTCGAGATGTTTGAGAAAGTGTGGCTCGAGCGCGACGAAGCCGACAATTTCCACCAGAAATACGACATTGACCTCGCGAAAGACGTCGTGCGCGGCCCCGTCGAAGCCCAAGTCCGGCAGCAAGTCGACGAGATGCTCGTGCTCCAGCTCGCCAACATCAAGGCGCAGCTCGAGGCCGCGGCCAACGGCAAGAAAAAGAAGGGCAAGAAGGGCAAGAAGGGCAAGAAGGGCAAAAAAGGCAAGAAAGACAAGAAGGGCAAGAAGGGCAAGCCGCTGCCCGGCGACAAGATCGCCGAGCTCAAGGGCCGGACGCCCGATACGATGCTCGCGATCCTCGTCGAGCAGAAAATCGTGAGCAACGTCCGGCCCTGCCTTGTGCACGACTTTATTGGCGAGTTCAACTACCTCGGGACGGTCTACCAGAGCGCGGACCGGCGCGATCGCTTTGGCAACTGGGTGCCGCAGGACCCGTCCGCCGCGCAGCTCCGGTGCGTTTCGCTCTTTGAACCGTGTGATGCAGTGCATGTGTAGCGCGGCGATCGTCGAGTACGCGGTGCTGCCGCTCGGGTCGCTCGCCGTGCGGGAAAAAGTCAAGCACATTCGATCGCTCCTGCTGTACGGACCCAAGGGTAGCGGGAAGACCATGATGGCGCGTGCGATCGCGCACGAGACCGGCGCGCTCTTCTTCAACCTCTCGGCGTCCAACTTGATTGGCAAGTTTTCCGGTACGCCCACATGTATCAATGTATCAAGGTCGCACCACCACAATTAGGCAAGAACGGCCCGACCAAGTGCATCCACATGGTGTGGAGTTTGGCGAAAGCGATGCAGCCCGCGGTCATTTACATTGACGAGTGCGAGCAGATCTTCGCACCGGGCAAGAAGAAGGCGTCGGACGGCCCGACGGGGTACCGCAAGGACCTGCTGACGTACCTCAAGTCGCTCACCATCAACGACCGCGTCTTGGTCATTGGCACGTCGTCCAACCCGATGGCCGGCGAGCCTAAAGACTTTCGCGCGTTTTTTGATAAATTCTTGTACTTTCCGTACCCAGACTACCCGTCGCGCGTGCTGCTGTGGCGTCGCAGCATCATCGACGCGATCAAGACGCACACACCGACGCCCTCGTCCGCCGTCCTCATACCCAAGCGTCATGACGTCTCATGGGTGCGTAGGGCGGGCGTTCGTCTTCCGGACGAGCTGGACGTGAGCACGCTCGCGCACATTTCGGAAGGGTACTCGTCCGGGTCCATCCGCGCCGCCGTCGACCAGACGTTGACAGCGCGCCGCGTGCACCGGCTCGCGAAGCGCGTGCTGCGCGAAGACGAGTTCATTTCGGCGCTGTCGCGACAGACTGCGACGTTTGCGGACGACAACGACAAGCTCAAGAACTTTACGGCGGTCATTTCGGGACTGAAGGAGACGCGCGAGAAGATCCGCAAGGCCGCGCTCGGCGACGGCGACGCCGCGGACGACAAGAAGGGCAAGAAGGGCGCCAAGGGCAAGAAGGGCAAAAAGTAAAAAAGATCGTCAATCCAAGAAAACCGATCGCTCTATGAAGAAAATATCGCCCGAGCAGTCGCGTTCTCACGTAGAGAGACTTCATCTTCATGCTGAAACCCAAGGGGCTTGCCATCGATCGCAGACCCGCGTCCTTGACTCAGGAGGGCGACGGACTCGCCACGAGCGGTGGAAGAAAGGACGACGACGATCGCCGGGGTGTGCCTTGGTGGACGTCGTCCCAGTACGGTGGCGGCAAAGCCATTTGCTCGCCCGTGCTCGTGTGCTGGTAGTAGAACTAAACGGTCGCGTCAGCCAGAGTTGGAAAGAAGATCGGTCTGTTGCACCTCGTCCGTGTAGAAGTTGATCTTGCGCTCCCACTTGGCGGCTTCGAGGCGCCCGAGGGCGACGTGTGCGAGCTGATTCTGCAGCGCGAGCGCTTCGTCCTTGGCTTGCTTCTGAGACGTCTTGTCGCGCGTCTGAACCACGCTGCGCACGTAGTCGCGCCACGCCACAAAGAGCACGCGGTGGCCGTGGCCCATCCTACCAAACTGTCTGCAACACAAGTGGACAACTTGTCGTACCAGCGCCGGAGCACATGTTTCATTTGGAAAAACTCGGTCGTGACCTACGCGAGCGAGCGTCGCGTCGCATGCACACCGTACAAAGGTACCTTGTTGCGGACGCGCGTCGTCTTCTCTCGCACATACGTGTGCTACGCAAGAAGGGTGAGCGCCCGATGGAATACTCTCAACATCAAGTGACATACGCGCAGCTCTTCGTGGAAGAGTGCAATGACGTCTTCGAGGTACGGCTTGTCTTTGGGCGGCCGCGCGGCCATGATCGCCTGCGAGAGCGTCAACTCAAGAGAATAATGAGAACGCTGGACGTGCGTTCACTTTGTCCGTCGCGTCTTGAATCCAGTCGACACAGGGTTCGAGGCCGGGGATCTCGCCCAGTGCATCAAAGACGCTTTTGGCCTCGCCTTGGTCGCTCTCGCTGTCGCTCTCGTCAGGCACGTCGTCCTCCGACGTTGCGTCGTCATCTTCGTCATTGTCGCTGTCATCTTCGTCATTCTCACTGTCATCTTCGTCCGCGTCACTGTCATCCTCGCTGTCGCCGCCTCGCGAGTCGTCCTTCGCGTCGTCGTCGTCATCGATGCCGGTCGACGGGTTTTCAAGCTGCCGCAGCTTCTACAAGACGCTCTTAATATGCACGTAGTCGGTTCCAAACCGCTTGGAGCTTGCGCGAGATCGGGTCGTCTTGGTGGAGCTCTTTCCGAGCTTTCTCGAGGCGGCCTTCGAGCTCCTTCTGGCGATCCTTGAGCTTGGCGAGCTGATCGCGCTTCAGCGTGCGCTTGGTCGCTTCGGCCAGCGTCGCGAGGTCTGCTTCCCACTTGGCGATCGACTTGCGAAGCGTCGCGTGGTGCTTGAGTGTTTTCTACAATGTCTGTTCGAAGATGTGCGAATCGAATGCCAACCGTGCTACCTTGGAGAGCGTTTGGAGCTTGGCGACTGTCTTCTGGCGCACGACGACGCGGTTCTTCTCGGCTTTCGCACTGGCTTTGGCGTCTGCGATTGCGCGCGCGAGGTTCGCCATCCACAGTTTCCCCTGCGCCTCGGCCGTCTTTTCGAAAAACGCAATGCCTACGATGGACAATATTGTCATCCCTTTTCGTATAGACAATATGTTACCTTCTTCCGAGTTGACGAAGGCGACGCACTTGCGCTTCATGGCGTTGCTGAGGCGTTCGCGGCGAGAATTGAGGTACGTGTCGCCCTGCATGTCCTTGTACTCTTCGCTCGTGACCATCTTGACGCGCACGAGGCACGCGTCGCGCTCGCACGCAAAGTCGAGCGAGAGCAGCGAGCACGGCTTGTGCACGCCATTTGCAGCGTCCACGCACATGCATTTGCGGAAGCGCGCCTTGCAGACAAGTTGTCCACATGTGTTTTCTGTCGAATCTATGTAGGGTACCCTCTCGTGGAAGAGCCCCGCGGTGCTGTACGCGTCATCGTAGTGCGTGAGCGCGTCGACAATGTCATCGAGACTGCGCTCGAAGAACGCCTTGGGCACCTCGGGGTGGTGCTGTGCCTCCATGATCGGGCGCAGCGCGGGCAAAATGTCCTAGCACCTGTGAAGCCCCATGATGGATGCCAGCGCCGTCGTACGCTCGCAAGGGCAGGTAGGATCACGGCAAAGAACTCGAGCTTCGTGCCTTGCAGCACCCGTTGCACGCCGGGCTGTATGTACGCCGCGAGGTCGGTCCACTGGTTCTGCTCCATGTGGCCCTCGACGTAGCTCAAGGCGGCGGCGAGCTGCTCGACAATCTGCCGTCGCTCCATGCGGAGCCACGCAAGGTACTGCTTGAGGACGAACGCGACGACGGCGGCCGGCCCCTCGTAGATGACGTCGAGAGGCGGCGATACCATCGGATTGTGCTCCATGTGGATTTCCGTGAGCGAGCTCAGATGCCGGAACGAGAAGGGCAGCTCCCGGATGTGGTTCCAGTCGAGGCGCAGACAGCGCAGCTTTGGTAGGAGCCCAAACGCGTCTGGAAGCGACGTGATGGCATTGTTGGCCGCCGAGAGCGATGTGAGGGACGGCAGGCCGCAGAGCGTTGCGGGCAGACCCTTGAGGTGGTTGCTACAGGGGCGTTGGATCGTTGGATATCTGGCATAGATATATGGATACAAGTTGATCGAGAGCGTCGTGAGGTTGCTAAATTCGGGCAGCGCCAGATCCCAGTGCACGAACGCGTTGCAGCTGAGGTTCACGACCGTGCTCCGGAGCTGGCCAAAGGTTGCAGGCGTCGACGTGAGCTGGTTCTTCTCGGCCCACACCTTTTGCAGCCGGGCGAGGCGGCCCTAGTCGCCGCTTGACTCCCATTTCTCCCAAGGATTCGTACAAAGTTGGCAGGTAGCTCTTGGAGCTGGTTGTTGCTCAAGTTGAGTGACGTGAGGCGATCGAGGTCGCACTAGAGGAGGAGGATGCGCGCTTAGATATGCATCCACGCAACGCGACCCATACGATCGAATCCGGGAGGCGCCGGAGCTTGTTCTTGGTCACGTCCATGTCGGTGAGGTGCACCAAGAGCCCGATCTAATGGGCTACGTTGTAGACCAAGCAAGACGCGCAAGCGCTCGTACGTTCTCTGGCAGCGACTCGAGGGCGTTGGCAATGAGCGAGAGACACTCGAGGAGCGGCAAGGACGTCGCGAGCTCCAGCGGCAACGCGCTGAGCGCGTACCCTGTGATGCGCACGGCGACGAGGTCTGTGAACGGGAAGACGCGGTCCCAGCGGAAAAAATCAATTTCGCCTTTCCACGACAGGTTGAGCTCGTTGTGGAGCAAGCACATGTGGGCGAACGGGCTCCAGAGCGTCTCTTTGGCGACCTCGAGCGCGTCGGCGGCGATCTGAGCGTCCTTGGCCTTTTGCCGACTGCGCTCGAGGACCTTGGCGTCGATCCACGCTTGCCGCTCCTCCCGCGACTGCATTCGTATCCGACCGTTACCACCGACTGCTACCCAGCACGTCTAGCGTGGTGTAGCAAACGACTCGGTTATGTTTCGTACAGGTCGCCGCAGCGAGCGCCTGATCCAGCCTTTTTGCTCCTGTCCAACGAGCCGCTACAACCACCAGTGCGCCGTCCATAAACGTGCGACGAGGTCTCTTTGGCAATTCATGGCATACACAGAATCAACGGCGCGATGTCAAAGAATGTCATCGGCGTCGACCGATGAACCACCTCATTTTCAAAATGCTCGTCGCACGTTTATCGCGAAGCCCTGCCGATCGAACCGTGGATTCTGTGATTGCCATAAAGTGCCAAAGAGACCTCGTCCCACGTCACACAGCACAATAAACACATCCGCCATGAAACATGGTAAACAGTCATGCCACGAGACGTGGTCGATTCGAGCACTGCAGTATGGTTCCCGGTGCACGGCGCACCGCAGCGAAGCGGAGGTCGCGTTCGGCGTACGCGTCCATCACACATTTGCCATGTGAATGCGTGTTTGCATTGGGCAGAGTGTGCTGAATGGTACATGAAACCGAACACCGATGATTGATGGCATCCACACAGTCCATGCTACGACACCGACGCACCGCTAGATAGCACGCTGCCCCAATACCAAACAAAAATCAAAAAGCTCGATGGCACCCTGCACAAACCTTTTACACAAATGAAACTACGGCGCATGCTACGCAGAAAGACCGCTAGATGGCCCACCGGCCCAATGCCCCATCTAAACCGCAAAGCTCGACCACGCCCTGCCCCAATAAAACACGAGGGGTGGGGCAGGGTACGTTGAATGTTGAACGCAAATGCACATGATTCTATGCACCGACAATTTGATGGCGTCCACACCGTCCAAGCTACGACACGATCCCACCGCTAGATTGCACTCTACCCCAATGCTAAACCTCGACCAAAGAGCTCCTGCCCCAAGAAACACGGGGTTCACCCTAGTACGATCTTTGTTGTCGTAAGAAGCGGAGGCAGACGCAACAAGATGGGCTTCTCATCCTGGACAATTCGAGGGCTACCGGGTGGTTCAAGTGCGTTTTCATCCCGACAAAAGGTTTCGTCCCATCCTCATTTGATTTCGAGTTGCTTTGCCACGCCCCAGGCCCGGAACTCTAGCGAACCCGCGCTATTTGTGAATAGCAAGCCGGCCGTTGCGCAACCGCCGCCTCGCACTCTCATCGCTCTACCTCCTCCGCCTCGGACTGCATGGGCGACGCTAGCTTTAAACTCTTTATGCATCTGCCACCTGCTGCCGCTTGCACGGGTCCGAGCACCGAGCAACGGCGCCAGAACCTCGCAGCAGCCGTGGTGACGCGGCGGGTTGCTTTGCCAACGCGGGAGAAACCCCCAGAGACGCGTGCGGTTTATGCACCTCGCGCGAGGTTCCGGCCTAAACTTAGATGTGCGTTCCGGCCTAAACTTAGCTGCAGCTACTTTTAACTTGACCTTGGCCATTGCCCAATCTGCACGCATGGAGCTAGAAGACAAGGTTAAGCCTCCCGCCGAGCCCAAAGACGACGCAATGGGGTCCCTTCCCGAGCCGGATGACAAGGTCATGGCCCTCGCCGAGCCCGAGGCCGAGCTGGTGCGCCCGCCGCTCTGCGTCCGCCAAGCCTCGTTCATGGCGCCCGAGGCGCTGCCGGCGCCAGACGCCGACATCCCGAGCGTCTACTCGGAGATGCACTTTAAAGGCATGCAAGACCCGTACTCGACGTCGGCCAACGTGTTTATGAGCACACTCAACGCCGCCTCCATCGACACGATGCTCAGCGGCGGCCTCAAAAAGTTCTTTGAAAAGTACAACAAGCTCGCCGAGACGACGAATCTGCAGCTGCAGACGCCCGAGATCCGCTTCAACAACCTCGCGTTCTCGGCGCAAACCAGCGCCAATTCGCTCGCGTCCGGCACGGTGGGCAGCTACCTCCGAGAGCTCTTCCTTCCGTGCTGCTGCAAGCCGCCGAGCGTCGAGAAGACCGTGCTGCACCCCATGTCCGGCATCATTCCGCCCGGCAGCATGACCTTGGTACGTGCTGCGTCTGGTGCATGAAATAAGTTCTGAGACTGTGCATAGCTCTTGGCCAGTCCGGGCTCGGGCAAGACGACGTTTCTCAAGGCGCTCGCCAACAAGCTGCCGACGAAGCGCACCAAGATCGACGGCAGCGTCACGTACAGCGGCCTCACAGCGGACCAGCTCGACCTCCGCAAGCTCGTGGGACTCGTGGACCAGCGCGACAACCACATTGCGACCATGACCGTGCGTGAGACGCTCAAGTTTGCCGACCAGTGCCTCAACGGCCACCCGAAGAAGAAGAAGAAGGCGGGGTCGTCGTCGCCGACCAAGTCGGAGGACAAGATGGCCGACATTGCCAACTTGCGGACGGAGCTCTATCTCTACATCCTCGGGCTCTCCAATTGCGCCGACACGGTCGTCGGCGACGCGCTTCTGCGAGGCGTGAGCGGCGGCGAGCGCAAGCGCGTGACCGTCGGCGAGATGCTCGTCGGCGGCCAAAGCATTTTCCTCTGCGACGAGATCAGCACGGGTCTGGACTCGGCTGCCACCTTTGACATTGTCAACGCACTCAAGACATGGACGAAAACGCTCGGCGGCAGCTGCATTGTGGCCTTGTTGCAGCCACCCCCCGAGGTCGTCGAGCTCTTTGATGATATTCTGCTGCTCGCCGACGGGCATCTGGTACGTCCCAGATTCTAGGCCAATCTAGATGCGACGAAATGACGTAGGTGTACCACGGGCCTCGCACGTCGACGCTGCCGTACTTCCAGACGCTCGGGTTCGTGTGCCCGACGCGCACCGACCCGTCGGACTTTTTGCTCGAAGTCGTCGCGGGCAGCGGCGCCAAGTACTTCAACTTGGGTAAACGTCGCATACCCCAACCGAATCTGGGCATCTTATGGATACGACTAGACCACCCGACGCCGGCGCCAAGCTCGTCCGAGGAGTTTGGCAAGGCCTTTGCCGCGTCGGCTCTGCACGCGGCCGTGCGCCTGCGCCTCACGAACGGCGAGCTGCTCCACGACGTGACCAGCGTCAAGCGGCTCGCTTTTCTGGCGCGCAAGGCCAAGATGTTCAGCCTCGCGTTCTGGGAGAGCACAAAGCTCCTCACATCGCGTCAAGTCATTTTCTGGGCGCGCGACAAGGAGCTTCTGTGGGGCAAGCTCATTGAAGCGTGCGCGGAAGGGCTTCTTCTCGGCATCATCTACCTCGACGTGGATGGATCGCTGTACATGCGCATGCTCTTCTTCTGCATTGCGATCTTCCAGGTGATGACGACTCGACCTCTGTGATCGACTCTTATATTGAGCGTATTGCATCTAGCGCCACGCATGGCAGCGCATTACGATCTCGTTTGGCGTCCGCAGCGTCTTTTACAAGCAGCGGTCGCGCAATTTCTTCCGGACGTCGTCGTACGCGGTCGCCGAGGCCGTCGTCCAGATCCCGATCAACCTCGTCGTCTCCGGCATCCTCGGCACAATTTTTTACTTTATGAGCGGCCTCTCGACCGAGACGTCCGTCTTCTTTACGTTTCTCGCGGTCCTCGTCGTCTTCCAGCACGCGATCGCGGCGTACTTTACGCTCTTAAGCTCGATCGCACCGACGATCACGATCGCGCAGTCGTTGGCGGCCTGCTCCGTCGTCTTCTTCCTCCTCTTCTCGGGCAACATCATCCTCTCGGACCTCATTCCGTCGTATTGGCGCTGGATGTACTGGTACAACCCGCTCGCGTGGGCGCTCCGGGCCATCATGCTCAACGAGTTTGGCAGTTCGCGGTACACGCCGGCGGCCCGGGCCGCGAGCCTCGACGCGTTCCAGATCCGCGAAGGCGACGAGTACATTGGGTACGGTCTCTTGCTGCTGCTCGGCTACTATCTCCTCTTCACCTGCTTGAACGCACTCGCGCTGCACTTTATTCGGTACGACTCCCAAGTGCGCCCGGCGACGGCGCCGCCAAAAGCGCTGGCGTCCGATGCGAGAGCCCTCGCGATTGACGCGGCGCCGACGCAGCTCCCGTTCTACCCCGCGCGCATTGCAGTCCGCGACTTGGACTACTTTGTGACGCTTCCGACGGGTGAAGAGCGACAGCTTTTGCACCACGTGACGGCCGCGTTCGAGCCGGGCACGATGACGGCGCTCATGGGCTCGTCCGGCGCCGGCAAGACGACGTTTATGGACGTTCTCGCGGGCCGCAAGACGGGTGGCCGTATCCTCGGCGACGTCTATATCAACGGCGAGCCGAAAAACCCCGCGACGTTCAGCTGCATTGCCAGCTACTGCGAGCAAATGGACATCCACTCGGAGAAGGCGACGATCCGCGAGGCGCTCGAGTTCTCGGCGTTTCTGCGGCTGCCGCAGACATTCGAGAACGACGCCAAGCTCAGCTTGGTGCGCGAAACCTTGACGCTCCTCGAGCTCGACAAGATTGCGCACGAGCGCGTCCTGAACTTGAGCGTCGAGCAGAAGAAGCGCGTCACGATCGGTGTCGAAGTGGTGGCCAACCCGAGCATCTTGTTTTGGACGAGCCGACCTCGGGGTTGGACGCGCGCTCAGCGCAGATCGTCATGCGCGGCGTCCAGTCGATCGCGCGCACAGGCCGCACGGTCGTGTGCACGATCCACCAGCCGAGCATCCAGATCTTTGAGCTCTTCGACTCGCTCCTTTTGCTTCAAAAAGGCGGTCACGTCGCGTTCTGCGGCGAGCTCGGCGCCGACTCGCAGAAGCTGCTCGAGTACTTTCACTCGATTCCAGGCACCGAGAAGATCCAGCCGCTCTACAACCCAGCGACGTACATGCTCGAGGTCATTGGTGCTGGCATTGGCCGCAAGGACATCAAGAACTACGCGGATGTCTATGCCAGCAGCGACCTCTGCGCCAGTAACCGCGACAAGGTCGAGCGGTTCATGGCCGTCTCGCCGGACCTCGTGACGTTTTCATCGCTCGCGTTCCAGCCGATCGCGACGAGTCTTTGGAACCAGACGCGCTGGCTCACGCACCGGACCGTCCACATGTACTGGCGCAGTCCCGCATACAACTTTGTGCGGCTCGTCTCGTACCCGATCTTCGCCGTCATCTTTGGGAGCACGTTCTACCAGCTGCCGTTTGGCTCCATGGCGCGCGTCAACTCACACGTCGGCCTCCTCTACAACAGCATGGACTTCATTGGCGTCATCAACATGATGACGGTGCTGGACATGGCCACGGCCGAGCGCGCCGTCTACTACCGCGAGCGCATGTCCAACTACTACAGCCCACTGCCATACTCGGCGTCCTTGCTGCTGGCGGAGATGCCGTACCTGCTCACCGTCATCATTAGCTTTGTCGCGATCGAGTACTGGATGGTCGGCTGGTACAACGACGCGGCGACGTTCTTTTTTTTCTGGTTCATCTTCTTCGTCTACACGTCGCTGTGCACCTTCATGGGCATGTGGATGGCCGTGCTCATGCCCAACATCAAGGTCGCCAACGTCGCCGTCGGCGCGATCACGTGCATCTTTAACCTCTTTGGCGGCTTCCTCCTCCCGTTCGTGCGCATGAAGTGGGGCTACAAGTGGCTCACGTGGATCATTCCCTCGAGCTACTCGCTCAACGTCCTCGTCGGACTCGTCATTGGGCGATGCGAAGATGGCGTCGGCCCCGGCTGCCGCTCGATCACGGTCGGCGGCAAGCCCACAACCGTCAAGTCGTTCATCATCGCTCGGTTTGGCTATGATCCGGCCGAGATTTACTCGAGCAGCGGCGCGCTCCTCATCGAATGGGCGCTGCTCCAAGCGTTCATCTACCTCACCTTGCGCTTCGTGTGCCACCTCAAGCGCTAATCGTCGTCTCTCTTCCATTGTTGCAATCTACTACAGGAGACCTAGATTCAGTTAAGTACTCTGAATGAATGATTTGATTGAATAAATAATGCTTCATGACTCGGTAAATTACGCAAAGCAGCACAAAATATAATACGTTGGCAGGGGGTGACAACCACGTGGGTAGGTCAAGTGAATCAAGCACTGGGATGATACGCGGCGCGACCGTTCGCGCAAACAGACACGGCAAGAGCCAATCAAATGCGTCGCTGGCGTATCTTTGGCAGGTTGGTGTCGAAGGATTCGATGACAACATTTGTAAATGGGCGCGTCCAGCTCCAAGAGGCAAGCCGTGACGCTCTCGGCAAAGTCCGTCGACGTCCAAATCGACGCGCTCGGAGACTTTACGTACGGGGTCGCCAACCAGCATGAAGTGCAGCACTACCTCCCGCCGCAGTTTCCCATCATCCCGAGGCTGACGCAGGCCAACATTGAGATTTGTCGGCGCACGTGGGACCTCATTCAGACCGCGGGCACGGACAAAATGAAGCAGTATGGGAAGCCCGGCATCATCCTCTTCTACGACGAGTCTTTTACCGCATCTTCGAGCGCGACTTGACGATCCGCGACGTCTTTCCCAAGGCCCAGCAGCGCGCTGAAGTCTTGCTCAAGGCCATTGGCTTCATTCTTGCGACCTGCGCCGGTACGATGCCTCTCTCTGACTCGATTCGCCTACCGCGTTAGCAGGAACGCCCGCCAGTGTTGAGGCAACCGTGACGACGTGCCGCTTCCTTGGGCACAAGCACCGCTCGTTTGCCAAGGTACAGTATCCTCGTCGTCAACGATCGTGCGATAGAGTTAAGTAGGTCCGGCCACACCACTTTGCGCAATATACCACCACATGCATTGAAGTGCTCATGTACTGGCTCGGCGAGGCTGCGTCGCATGACGTGGGCGTGGCGTGGAGCCACACTGTCGGGTTCGTGCTCGTACCGTCTGGGGGTTGCGCTGCAGTCGCGGCCGTAGGTTCGTTCTGCGGCATATCTTGGAGGCGTTCCTCTTCCGGCGCACAGACCCGTACGAGTCGTACCAGATCACGACGATCGCAGCAGTGCGCGAGATCACAGAGTCGTCTGTGGGCGCTGCCTCGCGCGCGGACACGACGAGCCGCCTCAACAAGTAGACGCTCTCGTGCTGCCACGTCAAGCACTGAATGTGTGTTTGGATTGGTCAAAATGCAAATCGGTTTTAACCAATCCGCATCGCGAGTGATGGGTGGTTGGGGAAGTTTAGGGTTTCCATACAAATGCCAAGTGCCATTCGCAGGGGGTCCGAAACGCGCGCGCTGATTGGACAAAAGTCGGCTCGAACGCGGCCGGAAGCGCTATACAAATTCCAAGGCATTCGCGGATTTCGGCGAAGGAACCCCCAAGCCTACCCCACCCTCACGCTACCCTAACGCAACTTCAAGATGATGGACGAGGGTACCGTCGCCGATGCGATCTTGTCGGCTCATGGCATGTAGTCGTTAGCGCAGACCAGATCTACCAGGTCCAGCTCGCGCACCAGCAGCAGCTCCACGCGCAGCTGCAGCAGGTCAGCGCCAACGTCGCCCAGCAGCTCGCGGCCGCAACGACCGCCAGCTTTCCCTTTCCGCGCAACTCGCCCGACTTTGCGTGCGAGAACGTCGGCGACCGCATCAAGGGCAAGCGCCGCAAGTATTGCCCGCACGAGGTCACGGCGCTCGTGCTCGGCGTCCAGCGGTACGCCGACGACAGCTGTCCGTGGAGCAGCATTCTGCGCGACCCGCACCTGGGGCCGCTCTTCCACGGCCGGTCCGGCGTCGACCTCAAAGACAAGTGGCGGACGCTCATCAAGACGCGACCCGACCTCGCGAGCTACACGGAGAACCGGAAGAACCACCGCAAGTACCGCCCGTTCACGGCGATGGAAGAGCGGGCGCTCATCGAGGGCGTGAAAAAGTACAACGGCCAGCGCAACGTGTGGAGCCTCATCCTCGTCGACAAGGACCTCGGCGTCCAGTTCAACGACCGCTCCAACGTGCAGCTCAAGGACAAGTACCGGACGCTGCGGCGGTCCGGTCTCGTCAACACCGTGTCGGTCTCGACGCCGAGCAACCGGAAGGCCAACCGCCCCGGCAAGCTCGGGCTCATGCGGGGCCCGCTCTCCCCCAAGAGTCGGCAGACGCTCAACGCGGCGGCGGCGCAGCTCGCGAGCAGCTCGCTCTTGCAGCAGCAGCAGTCGATGTTTACGGACCCCAACCTCTTCATGTCGACGCAGCTCAACCTTGGGCAGCTCGGACAACTCACGATCGCGCAAGCCCAGGCTCAAGTCCAAGCGCAGCTGCAGGCCACCGTCCAAGCGACCGTGCAGTCCCAGTCGCAAGCCGCCCAGGCTGCGCAAGCCAAAACGTTCTCGCAGATGCTGGCGGCCGCCAACTCGAGCTACAACAATGCGCTGCCCGCGTTCATGATGTCGGGTTCGGCTTCGCCGCAGAACGCGCTCTCGTTCTACAACTCGGCGACCGGATCGCCGCAGCCCGCAAGCGAGAGCACCAAGCGCAACGGCAAGGGCGTGCGCAGCGGCAAGGCCCCCAAGGCGCTGCTCGCGTCCGCGACGCCCAAGGCCAAGACGATTTTGGACAAGATTGACGCGCCGCTGTCACCGCCGCTGCTTGACAGCATGATTCCGATGCCGGCGTCGGTGCAAAACAGCGGCCGGCCGACCGGATTTTGAAATGTTGACGTGGCGTAGGACATGTAGGTAATATATGAGTTCGTAGTGGTGAGTTCTTAGTGGAGCAGCGACATCAACTGCGTACGGAGCGCGAGGACGTCATGCGACGCGAGGTCCAGCGTCAATTGGTAGCGCGGAGTCGCCTCCAAGCAGCCGACAATCTACGCATGTCGCACTACGTATCAAAGTATCAAGGATAACATACCGAGGCGGCCACCGACGCAGGGACCAAGCGGAGGCCTCGGAAGAGCCCGAGAAGCATGTCTTCTGAGAGGACGCTGCCGATCACGCGCTCGAAATCTTCCAGCGCGAGGGTCGAGAGCAGCTACAATCGCACGATGACAGCATGTCGACATCGCACGCGCTCTCTACCTTGGCCATCGCCTCCGGGTTGGTCTTGGCCTTCAAAAGCCGCCGTCCGGTTGTCGTTGAGAAGGGCTGGGCCGACATCGACGTCGAGATGTGCTTGGTCGGCTTCTTCTTCGTCAACAGCACCTTGGGCTTGGCGGGTATCAACTCGTCTTGATTGTTCTCCTTGTTGAACGTCCCGTTGACATCTCTCTTGGGAACCACCGGGGCAAGGACAACGTCCCTGGGGCCCACCGGCTTTGGGTGCTTGCGCTGCATGAGCGCTTCGACAAGCGCCTACGACGTCCTCTAAGTTCATCTCGGGCGCGGTTGGCGGCCGATGTACCTGCTCTTTGGCGTCCTTGGACGAAGCCCGCGCCTATCATCCAACAAAACACTCAACTTACGACACGAGAGCTGGAGTCGTGCACCGCAGCCTTCACGGCCAAGAGCTTCTGGATCGCATCATGCAGCGCACCGTCGCTTCCGTCGACGTGCTCGTGGAGGACCGAGAGCGCTCGGTCCAACTGATTGAGCTGCGTCAACGCGTCTGCGAGGCTTAGCGCCCAGCGACCACGCTCGCTCGGCGTTGGCGGGTGCTCCAGCGCAGTGTACAGGTCCCCCGTCGCTCTACGCATATGCATATGTACACACGGTGCAAGATGTACCAGTGCGAGACGTACGCCTGGGCGTTGCCTGCGGCCAGGTGCGCTGCCCCACGGAGCGCCAACGCGCGTTGACGCTCGGCCGGCGGGAGCGTGTCCGCGTTGTTGTTGCCATCCAATACGTCGGAGCAGAGCTCGAGGACGCGGTCGAACGCCTTGGTCTTGAACGCGTCGCTCGCTTCCTGCAAGAGTTTCATCTCTCGGGGGTACTCGACACCGGCGAGGCTCGAGCTGTCGCTGGCGTCGGCGGCCGGCCAGCGATTAAAGTCGGCAAAGACGTTGGCCGCGAGCTCGGCTTCGTCGGGCGACGCGCTCTCCGTCCACGCCGACAAGGAATCCAAGAGGGCCCTGCTGAGGCGGAGCTCGCCTTTGGTGTACAGCTTGCGCACCCAGCTCATGTAGAACGCGAGGATCTGGAGCGCGCAGAACGAGAGCTCGGGCGTCGCCTGGTTGTGCACGAGCTGCTGCACGATCGACGCGCTGTTGGGCAGCAGGAGCATCTTGTGGTGCAGCGCCTTCTCGAGCGCTGTCGTCGGCTGCTGAAACCAGTCGAACGCAGGATTGCTCGTGAGCTATCGTGCAGGATGCTGTCCTCTTGTATCGAGAACGGGTGTTGCACCTGCGTAAACGTATCGAGGGCTTGGCCGCGCATGTGCATGTCGTCGTGGTCAAACATGCTCACGAGCGTCACGAGGCCGTCCTGTAGAGCGCATGCATCATGAGGCAACCACATGAGATGATGGGTCGTCGTACATGCAAGATGAACTCGCTCGCAAACGACCACACTTGGGCGTGGCAGAGGTACATCATGGCCAAATACCGCTGACACGTGATCGCGCACGGGTGCGTTGCCGGCGCGCCATGCGGCGGCCCTTGCACGAGCGCCGCGTACCACAGCCCGTCGCTGGGCGTTGGCTCGAAGAGGAGTTGCCGCGCGCGGTCGTCCGTGAGCCGCTTCCGCAGCACCTCCTCGACACTGGCCGTTGCCGGCGTCTCGTAGTAGCCTTGGAACTTGGCCACCAAGGCCTTGCGGAGCTCTTCCGGGAAGGGCGCGATCGCGTCGACCAGCGCTGCCTCGACGACGTCCATGCTCCTGACGATGGCTCGAAAAGATTTTCTGTGGAGCTTCCAAAATCGGTCCTATGTTTTAAACACTGTTTCGTTCGTGTTGGATTCGATTTAGTCTTAAGCGTCGGCGTGCTCGATGGTGTAGACGGCCATGGCGAGCGCGCCCTCGTACGTCTTGTTGCCGCCGATGAAGCCGCCCGCGTGGACAAAGGTGCAGCCGGGAATGGCCGCGATCGAGCTGAGCTCGTCGTCGCGGAAGCCGCGCCACGCAGCGGGCAGGCCCATGCGCAGCGCAAACTTGCCGTCCTCGACGTTCACGGCCTGGATGCGCCACATGCCGCCGAGGCTGTCTTCGTAGAGCACAAACTTGATCTGGCCCGAGATGAGGAGCTCGTCCTCGATCGCGTACAGATGCGCCTTCCACGGGCAGTACGGGAGCGTGAGGATCTCGCCCGACTTGTGCACCTGGAAGCGCCCGGCGAGCGCCGTCTCGACGATCGTGCGCGCCGGCAGCCATGCCTCGTAGTAGTAGCGGACGCGCTCGACAAACTCGGAGATCGTGAGGAGCATCGCGTCATGGAAGCGCGCGTTGACGACGTCGTCGGTCTGCGGCTCGTTCCAGCGCGCGTTCAAGTAGCCGACGCGCGAGCTCAGCGACGTCGTGATGCTGTAGTTCTGCGTGCCGGTCGCGACCTCGACGCCGTTGTCGATGCCATCGATGTGCTCGATGAAGCCCTTGTACATCTTGTGGTACATGATGTCGAGGACCTTGTCGCTGAGCGTGCCATCGCAGATGGTCTGGATGATGTCCCGGCCAAAGTGCCTAAGAGGAAGAGGACATTGTATGTGCACGGTCGGTCGACAAAACGTACTTGTAGACAAGGCCAGCGCTCGAGAGCTTCGTCGGCTCGCCGTCCATCGTGCCCGTGAACGTCTTTTGATGGTGGTCGAACCGGATCGCGTCGGGGTTGTACTCGCCGCCGACGTCGACGACCGCGTCGCAGCCCGCGAGCTTGGCCATGTCGCGCGTGCGGAGAATGTCTACGCCATGCCATGAGCGTACGCGTCAATGAGGCGAGAAGCGTCGTACCATGCGCCTCAAAGCGCGGAAGGATCTTGAGCATCGAGACCGCGAGCGCTTCGTCGCAATGGAAGGTGCCATTGTGCGTGCCAATGTACTTGGTACCCTAGCGTAGTGCCATGAGCATGGGCGAGGTGTAGGTAGACGATGGCGTACGGGCGCGACGGCCGAGAAGACCTTGGCCTGCTGGACCTTGGCGATGGACTTGTGGAGAGCGCGGCCAGCCATTTGCGACGGATTTTTGGATGTGTTACCACTGGTGTTGAAGTTCCCTCCAAACATTATATGTTGCATGGATGCGTTGTGAGAGGTTCGCGCTGTCCGCCCGCCACGTGCGCTTGGCAGCGCGCTCGTTTGCGACCAAGTCGAGGCCCGACTTCCTCCTCGTCGTACATGCTGCCATTAATATAGGCTCAAGGAGCTGCTCTCAACGGCAGAGCGAGGTGCCAAGCGACGTTGATGCGGCGTCAATTCGCTTCGCTGAGTGCAGTCGCACTCTGCGGCCGCCACGTTTTTATCTTCGTTTGGCGAATCTTGGGGATGCGCCCGTCTCGCCTGGTACCCTCTTACCCTCTCGCAAAGACATTGGGGTCGAAAGGCTAGCTCTTCTAGCATAGATGATACTGCTTTCCGCATCAATACAAAGGTCCCTGGCGGCGTCCGTGCAGCCTTAAATGTTTTAGCCGGGATGGCGACATTAGACGCTGGTATTATAGCTCGATACATGCAGCGAGGCAAAGAAGAGGCACCGGAGAGAGGGTCGAGGTAGCTGGTTCTACTGTCTGTAGTCGTGCGAACGGCGGTCTCGTATAGCTGGTCGCACTGCGCTGCGTTGGGTGGTTTGGTCGGTGGGTGTTGTACTTGATAAGCGAATTTCGGGCATTTTATCTTCCTTCGCGCAAGATTTCGTTTTTGGTTGACTACTGCGGGCATGAAGTACACCAAGTTCACGCACGAGATGGACGTCTTCCTCCTCGAGAGCCTCCAGGTGAGCAACCCGATGCTGGCGCCGCACGGATCGCGCCTCGCGGCCTGGAAGGAGCTCGCGGAGACGCTTGGCACACGCGTCTGCAACAACCCAACCGCGTGCACGTGGCAGATCTGCCGGTAGACGCACCCGTTATGCCACATGTGCTGGATGCAGCGACGCGTAGGGACCGCGCCAAGGCCCTTCTCCACATGCACGAGCACGGACAGGAGAAGAAGCTCTTTAAGAACAGCGCGTCGCACCACGACCTGAAGCGCAAGGAAGCGCTCATCGTGGCGCTGCGCCAGACGCTGCCCGAGAAGCGGGCGGGGGCGAATCTCAAGAAGGAAAAGCCCGCGGGGGTCAAGAAGAAGGTGACGCCGCTGCCGGCGCCCGCACCAGCGCTGCAGCCGCTGCGACCGCTGCCCAAGCAAGAGAACTCGTCGCCGAACCCAGCGCCGATGCTGGTACCGACGGCGCTCAAGGCGCCAGTAGGTCGCAAGCGTAAGGAGATGCACGTGGAGCCCGACGTCGACGCCCGCCTGCGCGTTCTCACGACCGCAGTGGAGTCCAAGATCCGGGACGACATGGAGACGCGGGCCACGGACCTTCGCCTGCGGCAGCAGGAGCTCGAGATGCACCAGCAGATCCTGCGGTTCCTCGAGACCAACATGTACACTACTCCTTTCATGATCCTAGTACGGGTATCTCACATGCGATCGCAGGCCCGCCGGTGCGATGCCGGAGAAGCTTGTCGAGCTCATCGAGCGCAAGATGAGCTTTGACATGGAGCACCGGAAGCGCGATCTCGAGCTGCGCCAAGCCGAGATCATCTTCCAGAACCAGCTTTTGCGCTTCCTCACGCACGGCGAGTAGCATCCTTTTTCTCGTTGTTTCATGCCTCCTCTATCTATCTATGCCATGTCCTCAGTCTCCCTCGCTCGCCTTCATGCACGTCTATGGTCGACGTCGTACATATATGAGTTGGATCATTTCTCCTGGCGCTGGTTGTTGGACACGCGCTTGGCGTCGGCGCGCGTCGCCTTCTCGTCGTCGTCGTCCTCGTCGGGCGTAAAGGCCTTGGCCTCCGCGGCGAGGCGTTCGAGCAGCTCGCGGATGTTGCCTTGAATAGTGCTGAGCTCCTTTTTGGTCTGCGTGTAGTTCCAGTCCTTCTCCTGGAGCGACCGCTCTCGCTTCATCGTGCGTGGCTGCTTGGGGTCGCACTCGAGGTCTTCGTGGATCTCCTCGTCCGCGATCTCAGGGATCTCGTCCGTCATCTTGGCCGTGAACGACTTGCAGCGCACGGCGAGGTCCTGGAGCGCGCAAGAGAGCTCGAGCTCGGCGTCCTCGTCCACGCTCTCGCAGCTGTCCTCGAGGTTCATCTTCCAAATATGGACCCATCGCCAACGGTCTCATAGCGTAACCGACCTTGAGCCGTCGCCATCGTCCATGCGTCGTCTTTGCCCATGCATCGCCATGCTACTTCGTCTACCTGCCTACGGACGGATCATGGAGCACGCCCTTCCCATCGGCTTCGGCGGCGCTGGCTCGCGACCGTGGACTGGAATAGTATTTTGACGCAAATTTTAAGTACACTTAATATTTGTGAGCACTTGCGTGAAAACTATAAAAATGCCCGGTCACCTTGTTCTTGAAGCAGCGAACCAGTAACTTGATTCCATTCCATTTTGACCACAGAAGAGGCAAGATGAACGTGGATCTGGACGTCGCGCAGCTCGAGGCCGAGGCCGAGGCCATTGAGAACAACACGCAGGTCGTCGACCAGGAGATCGAAGACATGAAGCGCCGCGTTCAGGAGATGGAAGAGGAAGCGCAGAAGCTCAACCAGATGCACAGCCATGTCCAGGCGCAGATTCCAAAGGACGCGGCCGCGACCGCCGCCGCTGCCGCCGCTGCCATGGACGAAAACTCGATTTACGTCGGCCAAGTCGACTACGAAGCCACGCCCGAGGAGCTCCAGGCGCTCTTCCAGAGCTGCGGCACGATCAACCGCGTCACGATCCTCTGCGATAAGTTTACGGGCCAGCCCAAGGGCTACGCGTACATTGAGTTTGCGAGCCACGACGCGGTCGAGAGCGCGTGCCTTCTCAACGACACGAGCTTCCGCGGCCGTCAGCTCAAGGTCACGCCCAAGCGCGTCAACGAACGGGGCTTCAACTTTGCGCAGCGCGGTGGCCGCGGTGGTCGTGGCGGCCGCGGTCGTGGCGGCTTTGGCGGCCGTGGCGGCTTCAACCCGAACTTTGGTGGCCGTGGTGGCTACGCGCCTCGCGGTGGTCGCGGTCGTGGCCGTGGCCGGGGCCCGGCGTACCACCCGTACGCGTACTAAAAGAACCATCTCGGTCTTAAAAGAATGCTTTTTAAAAAAGAGGGAGTAAAAAAAGAAAAAAAGATCCGATTCCCCCACGCACTCTGCCGGACCTCGTGACGACGCTCACGCGAGCTTCTTGGACGGCCGCTTGGAGCTGGGCACCGTCGCCGCCGACTTGCGCTTGAGACTCACGCCGCCCTTGGACGCGACCTTGGACGCGGCCGCTACGCACGTGGCATCATGAGCATCGAGGAAGGATACGATCGTCGTCCTACTCGGCGGCGCGAGGAGCGTCGTGATGACGGGCGCGTCGCTGCCGTCCGCCTTGCCCTCGAGGGGCACCGAGTGCAGCAGCGTTCTCGGCACGTGCGTCACGCCGCTGATCGCTTGGTACTTTGCACTGAGTGCGTGCACCTCGTTGGACTTGAACGCGAGCGCCTTCTTGACCGCGAGGAGGCCGAGGATGTCCTGGCGCACGCTGTCGTACGCAGCGCAGACCTGCTTGGTCGGCATCGGTCGCGGCGGGATGTGAAACTAGGAAGATCGTCGATGAGTACTACGTCGATATATCGAATGCAGATACCTCTTCGAGCACGAGCGCCATCTTGCGCAGGAGCTTGCCGCTGAGGCCCATCTTGGCCGTCGTGGACGGCAGTGCTTGCGTCGTACTGCGAAAGTAGACACCGGGCGGCATGGGCGCGTGCACAATCTGATGGCGCACGTCCGCCAGCTCCTACGCTCCTCGATTGCATATTTGTTGCAGAAGGTGGGGGATTGATTACCTTGCGCTTCTTCATGTCGACACGTACGACGGCCTTCTTGAGCTGCGCCTCAATGGCCTTGAGCTCTTCCTGGAGCTTCTTGATCGCCGACTCTTCGGCGTTCGAGCGGTTGAACGACACTTCCAGCTGCGCCTTTCGCTGCTTCTCGTACGCGATGTGGAAACGGTAGGCGACGGGCTTCTCGACGACGACGGGGGCAAGCACGACGGCAGCTGCCTCGGGCTCCTTGGGCGGCGTCGCGGGCTCGGCCTCTTTGGTCTCTTCTTCGTCTCGGGTCTCGGCCGCCACCTCGTCTTTGCTCGGCGTGCTGTCGTCGGGGGCAGTGGCTTCGGGCGACTCGCTGCTCGCTTCGATGACATCAGCCTCGGCCTTGGGCATCTCGTCGACCACCGGCGGCGACAATGTCTCCCGCCGCAGCTCGGATAGCAATCGCGTCACTTCGTAGTACCAATACTTGATGTCTTCCATCGTTCGCGCCGTGTATTTTGCGCCCAAGTTGTACCGGTCCGTGATAACGACCCAGCGCAGCTCGTAGCGTTGACAGAGCTCCCAGAGCGCGACGGTCTCGTCGAACGTCCACGCCTGTGGAATCGCAGGGTCCGCGTGGTCTTTGAGCACCTTGTCATACTCGTCGCTCGAACAGCAGGGCGTGACTTGGCATGTGACGTTGAAGCGGGCGAACGGGTACTCGAGACCCTCGGGCAGCGCGGCCTTGACCCAGTGCGACAGGACGAGATCGTCTGTCCGCGCGCTATTGCGAAACTCGCGGCGCAGCCTACGGCCGTAGCGTTAGAGCCGTCCAGAGCGTGGGCCATACCATTTGACGCGCTGCGTCGACTTGCCCAAGAGCGACTTCTTAAGCGGCAATGTGGTCGTGGGCATCGACGAGACGTGCGCGCGCCCACCAAGGCCGAGGCCCAGCCCATGGTTGGCCTTCGACTCTTGCAGCAGCAATAGCTCGCGGTGAAGCTTGGACTTGGCCTTCGGCTTCTCTTCCTTCTTCACGGGCTTGGGCGTCGTCGCGGGCCCCGCGCCGCCCACGCCCAAGATGTCCGCGACATCCCCCATGATTTGATATTGGTTTCCAGAGGATTCTACATTTTGTGGTGTACACTAAATAGGTAGCTTCGAAATTCTAGGCGTAAATTGATGTTACATTCTAAATCATGCTACTTAAATTTAAAAAGAGTAACACTATTTATTTATAGGATACTCGCGGAACCGACCAGCCCACAACGACTCGTATGCGAGGTGGTGACCTCCTCTCTCCGCTCTATCGTTCAAAAGAGATATCACAGGACAGTGCACTGCACTATTAGCCCATGATTATGATGTATCGGCTGCGTGTTGCGAGAGCACACTATTTCTGTCTTTACAGGTGGTTTCTTTTCGGCCCGGCTACATCACTTGGGATTTGTATTCTCCAAGATCCACATCAGGCAATTCCCTTATGCAAGACATTCGAAGACAGGCGCACAAATCAGCACACTTTAAAAATCTGGAATGGTACTATATAAGGTAATATCTATTTTTGAGCGACATCCCAAGGATCGCGACTCTTTACCAAGATCGAAGTCGTCGCCATCTCGACGTCAAAGACGAAGAAGCTTATGATGCAGCAACATCGAGGAGAGCACGACGAGTACTTCATGGCCGACTCCATGGACGAGTACAAGAAGCGCGACAAGGGCGGGAAGAAGGCGTGGACGCCCGACGAAGACCAGCAGATCGTTGCGCTCGTGGCCAAGCTTGGCTGCAAGCACTGGTCCAAGCTTGCCAAGATGATGCGCGAACAAAACGCCGGCTGCGCTCGGAGCGGCAAGCAGTGTCGAGAGCGATGGCACAACCACCTGGGTACGACGGCGACCTGCCGCCATCGTGGTGCGATATAGCCTCGTCTACGTAGACTCGACGATCAAGAAGGGACCATGGACAAAGGAAGAGGAAGAGCTCCTGATCCGTGCCCACAATGAGCACGGCAACCAGTGGAGCAAGATCGCCAAGCTCTTCCACGGCCGAACAGACAATGCCATCAAAAACCGATGGTCGACACCGCGACCTCTCGCCACGTCCTCACGCCTCCCCGTAGGTTTGCCAAGCAGCGCCGCGAGTCGCGCCGGACAGGCAAAGTCAATTCGCCATTCGATCACTTTGCCCACGTACGTCATCGCGTCATGCGCCACGACAGCGTCGTGACGCCAGTATGGCCCATAGGACTCGGACGAATTGCAGCTGACACCACGACCAACCCACCGACTTTTGCACATGAGGTAGCTGCGTCCTCAGCGGCCCTCGAGGTTGAGTCGAGTTGTCTAGCGACGCGATGAGCTCGCCTCGCCACGCCTGGATATCCCCGGTCAAGGCAGAGTACGTCAACCGATCGACGACCGCGTCGATTTCACGCTTACTGGAACCGTTCTACGTAGGCCTGCGCCGTCCGCGCTCTGGAGCGCACAAGGCGCGCTGTACTCCAATGCGCCATGGCGTTCCCTGCAGCAGTACGTGGCGTATCCTGTGCATGCATGTACCCACGCTCAGCGAATCTAGAATGGATGATATGTCGTCGTTCGACCTTGGTCTCATGGAAGGCTACTCGATGGACTACGCGTCGGTGCATCACGGACTTCGCGACGACGCCGCGTACCGCGACGACGACGGCGACAGCAAGCCATCCGCGCGGCTGCTACCGCTCATGGAGCTAGACCTGGATTGGACCGACAAGGTCCTGATTTAGCAAACTCGTCGTTACAAGTAGTTAGCCGTCTTTGCGTGCTTCTTCGCATGGCCACGCCCACGCTCCAATGTGACGCAGAGCACATGCGATGGGCCACCCGACGCTCGATGCATCCAGGGGCGATGGATGATGACCTTTGAGGATCTGCCATATCTTCCACCAGTGGTGGCGAGACTACGAACTTCGGATTGCAGTCGAAAAGCGAAGTTTCCATACACAGCGAGCTGGATTCGAAGCTCGATGGCCATCGAAGGAACGACGTTGCGAAGACGAGAGCAGCATTTCCGAATTGAGATCCATTCGATGGGCAAGAAGGAAGACTCGGTGCAGTATGCGTCCGTCAAGATGCACGACGACGACGATGGCCACCCACTCGAGCCCATGCACATCAAGTCCACGCGCGACGTGGCGAGCGACGCCAAGGACTGGCGCAGTGTCTTCTGGTGGACGTTTGCCATCACGCCGTACGTGATCCTGCTCTGCCTCCTCTTCCTGAGCTCGACGGGCAACCTCTCGGAAGAGACGGATCTCAGCATGGGCTGCGCGGCCCAGCGCCTCGAGAAGCTCCAGACCACGCGCAACGTCTTCTGGGACCAGTCGGTTGTGTCGGACAAGACGCGGCACGCCGCGATCGGGCAAAAGGGGGCTACGATCTGGATGACGGGTCTCTCGGGCTCCGGGAAGAGCACGATCGGCCGCGCGCTCGAGGCCGAGCTTATCCACCGGCGGGTGCAGGTGTACCGCCTCGACGGCGACAACGTGCGCATCGGGCTCAACCGCGACCTTGGCTTCTCGGCGGCCGACCGCGCCGAAAGCGTCCGCCGCGTCGGCGAAGTGGCCGCGCTCTTTGCGGCCGCCGGCACCGTCACGATCGTGGGCCTCGTGTCGCCGTACCGCGCCCACCGCGACGAGGTCCGCGCCCTGCACGAGAAGATGAACCTGCCGTTCTACGAGGTGTTTGTCGACACGCCGCTCGAGGTGGTCATGGCGCGCGACATCAAGGGCCTGTACAAGAAGGCCGTCGAGGGCAAGATCCAAGAGTTCACGGGCATCTCCGCGCCGTACGAAGCGCCCCTCGCCGCCGACATGACGCTCTTCACGCCCAACCTCACGCTCGCCACCGAGGTCGACAATCTCCTCACGTTTCTCGAAGCCAAGGGCCTCTTTAGTGGCGTCGCGTCGCTTCCGAGCGGGTACCCCGGCGTCGCGCGGCCCGACGGCGGCAATGCAGCCGAGAACTTTACGGCCTTGTACCCAGATGCGCCGTCGGCGGTCGTGCCCGTTGACGCCGCCTGGCCACGCGTGCTGCTTCGCGACGAAGACCTGCACTGGCTCCAAGTCCTCGGCGAGGGCTGGGCCGCGCCGCTGCAAGGGTTCATGCGCGAAGGCGCGTACCTCCAGAGTCTGCACTTTAGCTCGGTCGTCTTTGACACGGACAACTTGACGAGCGGACGTCTCGATCCGCATGCGCCGACCAACTTCTCCGAGTACTCGAACGAAGGCTTGCGGAAAGGGCGCCGCGTGAACCTCCCGATCCCGATCGTGCTGCCGGTGAACGCGGCGACGAAGGCGCGCATCGACGGCGCGTCGCATGTCGTGCTCGTCGACCGCGCCGGCGATGACGTGGCGATTCTCGTCGCGCCCGAAGTCTTTCCGCATCGCAAGGAGGAGCGCATCGCGCGCACGTTTGGCGCCATGGACGCCAAGCACCCGTACGTTGCGGCCATCCAATCGGCCGGCGAGTTCCTCGTCGGCGGCGAGATCCAGCTGCTCAAGCGCCTCACTTACAACGACGGCCTCGACGCGTACCGGCTCACGCCGACCGAGCTGCGGCGCAAGTTCGCGGACATGGGCGCGGACGCCGTCCTCGCGTTCCAGACGCGCAACCCGACGCACGCCGGCCACGCGTACCTCATGAACTCGGCGCGCCAGCAGCTGCTCGACATGGGCTACAAGAACCCGGTCTTATGGCTCTCGCCGCTCGGCGGCTGGACCAAAGACGACGACGTCCCGCTCAACGTCCGCGTCGACCAGCACGTGGCGATTCTAAAGGAAGGCATGCTCGACCCGGCCTCGACTGTCTTGGCGATTTGGCCGTCGCCCATGGTCTACGCCGGCCCGCGCGAAGTCCAGTGGCACGCCAAGTCGCGCAAGAACGCGGGCGCGAGCTTCTTTGTCGTCGGGCGGGATCCCGCCGGCATCAAGCGCTCAGACGGACAGGACATGTACGCGGGTGACCACGGCCGCTACGTGCTGCACCTCGCGCCCGGCATGGACGAGATGCACATCATGTCGTTCCCAAAGGTCTTCTACGACAAGACCGACCACCGCATGAAGCCCCTCGACACGACGCGCCCCAAGTCGGACTTTTTGTCGATTTCGGGCTCGCGCATGCGGCTCATGGCCAAGAAGGGTCTCCAGCCGTGCGACGACGTCATCCCGTCGAGCTGGGAGACGTCGCCGACGTGCGTGCCGCCAGGGTTCATGGCGCAGGCGGGCTGGGACCTCATGATCAAGTACTACCAGACGCCCGATGCCGCGTCAAACGTCCAGTACGCCGAGCCGCGCCGAACGCTCGCCCATCGCGACGACGTTGAGGCGGTCGGCACCTTGGGCCAACGGGACTTTCAGCTCTTTCTTCAAACGCCCCATGGGAAGCGCTCGGCGTGGCACGACGTGCCCTTGTACGTCAATGCCTCGGGCGTCGTCAACCTCGTCGTCGAGATCGAGAAGGGCCACATGGAGAAGATGGAGGTGCAGAAGAAGATCCCGTTCAACCCGATCATGCAGGACACGACCAAGACCAACCACTCGCGCTACTACATGTACGCCGTGCCCTTCTTCAACTACGGCATGCTACCAAGGACGTGGGAAGACCCGGCGATCAAGGACGAGCACGGCCACATGGGCGACAACGACCCACTCGATGTGATTGAAATCGGGGCCGCCGTGCTGCCCATCGGGTCCATCCAGCCCGTGCGCGTGCTCGGGAGTTTGGAGCTCATCGATCAAGACGAGGTCGACCACAAGATTATTGCCATCTCGACGGCCGACCCGGACGCAGCCCACATCCACACGGCCAGCGACCTCCTCCAGTACAAGCCCGAGATTGTCGCGCGGCTCATCGACTGGCTCAAGAACTACAAGCTGCCAGAAGGCAAGGCCGTCAATGTGCTGGCGCAGGAGTCGTTGACGTCTGAGACCACGGCGCTGCAGATCATTGCCGACACCCATGGGCGGTACCAACTGCTCAAGAACGGCTCGACACCCAACCCGGGCTTCTGGCTCGGCGACTAAGCGACATCATCATTGACAATATGCATCATCATCAATCATCATCCTTCACACATGGTTATACAGACTACAACGACCCGCCACGAGTGCATCTTCGACCGACGCAGTTGCTCGGATCTCGAGGAGGACGACGACGAGAAGATTGGTTTCCATCCATGCAAAATTTAGATGCTGTACTCGTCGCTCTCGACGAGCGGCGGCGGCTTCTGGTTCTTCATGCTGTTTTGGTGCAGCAGCAGCTGCGCCTCAAAGAGCGCGGCCTCATTGTCGAGCTTGACTTCGGGCGTGAAGTCAAAGTCTTTAAAGAGCTTCGACTCCTTCTGCTCCTTCGAGGCCGACCGCTGGAGCGTGCCGGCGCCGGATGGCGGTGGCGCGAGCCCTCGCTCAATCTCCGTGATTTCTTGTTCCGTAAACGAGTTGGGAAAGTTGGACGTGTCGGGCACCGCGTTCCCCGCGTCAATCTTGGGCTTGAACGGGGGTGGGATCTCCTTGCGGTACAGCTTGTTCCAGTCGATCGGAGCAAAGAACGGGTGGTCCATGATCTCCTTGTCGCCGCGCGGGCCCGACCCGAGGCGCTGGTTCGGGTCCTTCCACAAAAGGCGCTGGATGAGGTCGCGCGCCTGCGGCGAAATGTACTCGGGGATCGTGAGGTTGCCGCGGAGGATGTTGTGGAAGAGCTGCTTCTTGTCGTTCGTGTAGAACGGCGGGAGGCCCGTGAGGAGCTCAAAGAGGAGCGCACCGACCGAGTACCAGTCGAGCGCAAAGCCGTGGCCCGACCGGCTGAGCATCTCGGGCGCGAGGTACATGGGCGACCCGCAAAACGTGTTGGCGGACGAGTGGTCCGCGACGCCTTCCTTCGAAATGCCAAAGTCCGTCAGGAGCGCATTGCCGTCGAGGTCCAAGACCACGTTCTCGGGCTTGAGGTCGCGGAAGACGATGCCCTTCGAGTGCAAGTGCGAGAGCGCAAGCACGATTTGGCCAATGTAAAAGGCGGCTTCGGGCTCCGTAAACGCCTTGCGGCGCGTGAGCGTCGAGAGGAGGTCGCCGCCGCCGCAGTACTCCATGACGAGGAAGAGTCGATCTTGCGACTGGAACGCATAGTAGAGGCTCACGATGTACGGGTGGTCCGAGCACGCCTGCAGCGCCGCCTTCTCCGTGTGGATGTACTGCGCCTGGTTCTTCTGCACGATCGCCTGCTTGTTGTACGCCTTGAGCGCAAACCACTTGTCCTTATTCGCGCCCTTGCCGCGCACGAGGTAGACCTTCGCAAACGCGCCGCGCCCGAGCACCTTGACGAACTCAAAGTCGCGCGGCCCGAGCGCGAGGCTCTCGTGGTACTTGTTCTTGAACGTGACGTGCATCTCCGTCTTGTTGCTCACGTCGTTTGGGTCGACGCGGCCCGGCGGCTGCACCGGATTCACCGCGTTGTTCTGCGCCGACGAGCCGCCCGAGAGCAGCACGCGGATCGGGTGCCCGATCGGCGAAATGTGCACGGGCAGCGACCCCGACGCGTTCGGCACGTCCGTGCGCGCGCCGTAT